GGAGGTGTGTATATGCAAGCCACGATAATGCTTTATGTCTTCTTACAACGCAATCGCCGGCCCCAGAATCGCACACGCAATGCCCACGAACCAGAAGAGCGCGGGATTGCTGTTCTCCGTCCGCCCGAACCAGCCTTCGACCGCGGCCATGCCGGCCGAGTGCATGATGGCGTGAGTCGGTCGCGCGGCCCCGTTATGGCTCGCGGTACTCTTGGCGCTGCCGGAGCCGGAGCTCTGTGATGCAGAGCCATAGCCAGAGCCGGTTCCGGAAGAGCCGGAGCCAGAGCCAGCAGAGCCCGTGGGGCCCGTGACGGCTGCAGCGCCGATGGTGGGCAGCGCCACGTTGCCCGAGACTTCCCAGTAGCCGCTGGTGTAGGAGGGACAAGCGGGCGGGGTGTTGCTGGGGGTGTAGGCGTTCTCGGAAACGCCGGTAGGGCTCAGGGTGGCCCATTGGTTCTTGAGATTGGTGAAGCCGGGGTTGAGGGGGGTCGGGGCGCCGCCTACGCTGTATCCGCCGATTTCGGGCTGAACGGAGACGGTGGGCTCGGCGCCTGATGGCGGTCCGTAGGAGATGAGGCCGTAGTTGTTAGTCGTTTCGACCCACTCGTAGATGATGGCGCCGGACCAGGTGTGGTCCATTTCGGGGCCGAGGATGGCGGCTTGGTCGGCGAAGAGGCGCGGCTCGGGTACAATGCAGCCCGTCTCGGAGAAGAAGATGGGGATGTTGTAGTTGCTGGCGTTCTTCTCGAGAATGTCGTAGCCGGACTCGTCATAGCTGGAGTCACCGCACCATTCGTAGGCCTATGTTGGTTAGAGGGTTGCGCCGGATGGAAGGCGATGTTTGACAACTCACATTCAGGCTGTAAAAGTCAACAGCATCCGCAGCGTCAGAACCACAGGCGAGATAATTTTGCAAGTTCGGCCGCAGCGCGGGAATGTCGGCGGCGGAGTATCCAATGGGAATATCTCGGTAGCCTTGCTTGTCCCGATAGGCCTTCATATCCGCAGCGGCAGCCTTGACGTACGGAGCAGCAATGCTGCTAGCGCCGGTGGTCAGCATTTCATTCCCGACAAAGAAGCCAGCAACGTTGTCGTATTTCTGGAAGGTGTCCATGACGTCGGCGTAGGCCTGGAACATGCTTTTGGTCCATTGAGGGGTCGGGGAGGTGTTTTGCAGAATGTAGGTGCTGAAGGTGTCGAGGTCCAGCCAGACGTAGATGCCGGCGTTGGCAAAGGCGGACATGCAGCCGTCGTGGTCCAGGGATGCATCGACGTGGTAGACGCGGATGGCGTTGGTGCCCAGCGTTTGCATCAGAGCGACATCGAGCTGGCATTGGTTTGTATTGGCCAGCGGGTCATTAGGTGTTGGTTGGTAGGCAAGGCCTGATTCACGTCAGCTCGCCCACTCATCTCCCCATTGATGTGGACACTGCCCACCTTTGATGTAGAATTGCGCTCCGTCGCTGGTGAAGAGTTTGGAGCCTTTGGCAGAGATGGTCGGGATGGCGAGGATCTGCCGGGCCAGCAGGCCCAGCACGACGGCCCAAGACAGCATGACGGTAAGAATTGCGCTCGGCGGGTCGGGTGCAATGTTTCAGTCGTCTCAATAAAACGGGGTCGGCGAAGAGGTAGAGAAGGATTGGCAACGGCGGGAGTGGCTCAACGCTTCCCTCTCGCAGCTTCCACAAACAAACAGGGCGGGCAGACGAAGATGCGCAAAGCGAGCGAGGCAACAACACCCGGGAATGCAGAACGTGAATGAATCTCCCCGAGGACAGCAGCGCAATGGAAGGAAGCGGGGACAGAAGGGGGAAACGAGGGAAAAAGGATTAAAGGTGAGGTTGGCCAGGAATTGCCACTACGAAGGGAAGCTGGAAAGAAGGGCTCGAGCCGCGTGGTCGATGGGCAACTTTCCTCACCCGCCCATCGGACTTCCCTGCTGTCGCCCGAAAGTCTCGACGCCACTTTGACGCTTGTTTGCGGCCTAGCGCGACGGCAGCGCTACCGAACACCCCGTTTCAGGATGCGTCAATTGGGTGACGGGTCAACCTTGAATTTCCTCGACACGTCCATGCGGTAAGGCGGGTGGTTGTTGTTTGTTTCATTGCTTCTGATGATATGTCTGCCATTAAGATCAACCGTTCGCGACCCCCTGGTGATATGGGGAAGATTAAGGGTCTCTGGTGCACGCATCATTATCATTACACTAACTACCTAATTGGGCAGGAATCTGCCTTGCACATGCACCAATTCCTGGCACGGCTGGCTTTGACTTTCCGCTTGCTCCCCTCAACGCCTTCGCTCGTACCCTGTACCTTACCCTCCGCAGTTCTATTTCGGGCCTCCTATCATCGCCACTTGCCTGATTGCTGGCGTTGCGTGCTGCATCCAGCCATTGAACAAGACCGCTCGATCCGACTGTCGCTTGCGAGTTCCTCTCCTCGCCTTTCTTCTTTCGCAAACAGTTCAGTGTTGGGAGTTTGGCGGTATGGGCTTCGTGTCGACCTTCCAGTCTGTCCACGTTGGCGCAAGTGACTCGTTTGCCGCACCATCTTTTCGTGCGCGCTCGAATCACCGCCCGGAATTTGTAGTCCATCCAGTGTCCATGTTCGGCTTTCATGCCACCGCCGGAATCTCGTCCACAGCAACCACAGTCTCGCCTACGACTTTCGAGTCAACGGTAGGTCGGGCGGACGTGCCTTGCTCGCCACTCTGCATCTCAATCCAGCACTTCTTCAGCATTTCCGTCATCCACTGCTCCTCCTCCAGCTGCAGACTTTTCTGTCGGCGCGCGACATACCCGCGTTGCACCCGCACCCGCCCGGACCCGTTCGACGTGGCGGGACTGAGAGGCTGCAGCATCGAGTTCTCCAGTTCCGGCGTGGAAACCGCGGTTTGGCTTTGGCTCAAACTCAGCTCCAGCTCGATGCACTGATGGATCAACTCCTCAATCCCGTTCCGCGTCGCCGCCGCCTTGGCCTGCATGCGTTCGAAGAAGTCCTCGCCATAGAGCGCATCCTTGGCAAGCGCACTCTCCAGCGAGCCGAGGAAGAAGCTGAAACTCGGCAGCTTGGGGCCGTCGAGGGTGAAGGGGTAGTGCACGTCGCTCAGCAGGCACGCGGCGTACAGCATGCGCACGCAAAACTCGGAGTCGAGGGAGTGCTCGATGACGCAGCCGGGGCAGCCGGTGGTGTAGCACCAGTCGCGCTCCGCGTCGGCCGCCAGGAAGCACTGGAGCCAGAGGAAGGCGCTGCGCCCCTGGCCGGCGAAGGCGTATTCGAGGTCCTCGACGTTGGTCGCGGAGGTCGTGTCCATGGCGAGGGCGACGGCTTTGTCGAAGAGCTCGACGACGGGCACCAGGAGGGCGTGGAGGATGTCGCGCACCAGCATGGTCGAGGCTACCTCCACCTCGCCTTTGAATTGATGATGTTGGCAGAGTCTGGGGTATTGTTAGTGGAGGATCTCTGAGCGGTAGGTGAGGTACACCACATACACATAGTCGTATGTATCGGCCAGGTGATTTCGCAAGATCGTGAACCCATCGGATTGCGCCAGCACCTCCACATCCTCCCTGTGAAGAACAAACGGCACGCAGTCTGCCGTCTCCGTCCCCACCACTCTCACCTCCTCCTCTCCATCGGTGCTCGCACTATCGTCGTCCGCAAACTCGAACATCATAATCTCCTCGCCAACCACATGCTCGGGACAAAGCTGGAAGCGCACGCAGTTCACACAGGCGAGAGCAAGTCGACGGGCCAGACGGAGAAGTTGAGCGATCAAATAGACAGGAAGAAGGAGAAGAGGAGCCGAGCAGGCCACGGCAAGAGTAATAATATACCTACCCAAGAGCGAAATCGAAAAGTAACGAGAACGCCACCAACACCCACACCCGAGAGACCACCAGACACACATCACATGAGCGCCGCCCCGACCTCCACGCGCCACGCCACGCCGCCCGCCGCCCAGACGAGCAAAAGCCGAAACTCACCCACCCATCTCATCTCACCTTCCGCCCGGATGAGGGCGCAAACGCCGCCCGCCGCCAGCCGGGTGCACATACCGGTGCCCACAAGCCAGCCATCAAAAACGCCTCGCGATCCAAACTTTTTCGCATGTGACAGTGTGTGGGCACAGCTAACGCGCGGTCGGGCCAGCCGCCACGGACATGCTGCATGCCGCGCCGCGCGCACCGCTTACATGGAAAGGCTAAGAAGGGTACGAGGTACATAAAACCTCACATTATAGCCTAGACGCCGGGCCGCAGTGGTCAGAAGGTACAGAATGGCACACCACGCCGCAACGCTGGCTAATGTGGTCCGCAGCGGAGGGTGAAATAGAATTTCCGGAGCGGCGAGGGGCTAACGGGGAAGGGATAGAATTTCCGGAAGGTCATCTTCCCATCTAGCCAGCGCACGCACGTGGGAACCATCACTCGCTTGTGCTGTCGCTGGAAGTATACCGTAGCATCGGGCGAGGGAAGTGGAGGGACGTGAGATCTAGCAGTCGAACAGATTGCACTTGTCCGAAGCAAACATGAGACTGAGCGGGTGCAGATTCCCATCGACACATATTCCGGACACTCGCGGGTACCAAAGACAGCCAACCGTACCTGAAGATCTTGACCCGCGTTCGATCAAGAAAAGGTAGCAACCGAACACACCCACCGGAGGTCTAGAACGCCACGAGAATCCATCGCTGCGCGCAACTGGAGCCTCGGCTTGGCCGCCGTGGGCAAGAACACGAGTAGGCCCGATGTGCTTTGCTGTTGGGCCGCGTCTTCATTCTTCCCCTTCTGCATCCGTCCGCCCACCCCCACAACAGCACCGAGACGGCTCCGAAGCACGCAATCTCCTCCACTTCCCTTTGCGCTGGTGGTGTCTGTTGCTTGTGTTTATTACTATGAGATGTGTTATGCTGAATCATGAAGGGATTCACTCGCTCCGAAAAAGCGCCGGGAGGGAAATCGCTGGCACATGGAGTGGAGGCTGGGAATTAGGTAATTCCTTAGTTAAGCGAGCTCTGTCGTGTCACCTATTTTTGGTACATCAACACGCGTTGCCATCTTCACTTCACTTCAATGAAACAAAGCCTACCTAGTATCCCGCATTGCCAGCCTGCATAAAAACCTCCAGAAGAGCAGGGTAGTTCGGCGTGCCGAGCCCAGTCAACGGATCCCATCCCACCGCCGCCTCAAACCCTAGCTTGCCACAGTCCTCAACCACGTTATTGCCGACAGTGATGTCGTGGAAGGCCTGCGGGTTTTGATACTACGCAACGTCAAAGTATCAGTACGAGTTCAAACGCAGCATGTCTTTTTGTTGGTTTCGTAGACTCACCAGGACGGGATTCACAAAGCCGACCGTCGACTTGCCCGCGCTCAGACGCTCTTCGTTGATGCGCGTCAGGATGGCGGCAAAGGTGGGCGCGGAGGCGCTCGTGCCGCCCACCAAATAAGGCTCGCCCTGGCCCCAGTTCAGCACTGCCTGGCCGATGGCGGAAACGTCGGGGTCTGTTGCGGCGAAAGCATGTTAGCGACGGGGGAGAAACGCATTGCCATGTGATGGGTTGTTACGCACAGCCGCGACCGGAGCGGTTGTAGTGACCGTTTCCAAAGACGGGGCCAGAGTAGGACGGGAAGGTGGGTGCGGACGACGAGGCAAAGTAGGCGTCGACCGCTTTCTCCTGATATGCTGGGCGCGGGAAGTAGTTGGAGAAGCCGCCGCCCGACGGAAACTGCGTGACGGCGCGCTCGTGATCTTTCGCCGCGCGACCTGTGAGCGTCGTTGCTCCGACGGCCGTCACGTACGGACCTTGTTGGATGAGGGTTAGTAGGCTGCAAGCTCGTGGATGGGAGGAACGCTCAAACTCACAGTTGGAAGGGAAGTTGGGGTTAAAGACGGAATTCTCCGGCCCAACACAGCCCCATTTGGATGCCACGCCCTCATCACCGGAAGAGAAGACGAGACTGACGCCTTGCATGCCGAGTTTCATGTCTGATGCCGTCGAGTTAGTGCCGCTCGATGCCACGAATTGCCCCGGCCCGCGGCTTACATTCGTTACATTGTCTCTTCTGATAGTTGGCCGGCGTGCCCTCGGCATACTCTGCGAGCTCGTAAGAGAGGGAGATGACGTTGGTCGGCTTGAAGGCTCCGCATTGAAGCGGGTGTTCGTAGCCCGGGCTGGGGTAAGTCGGATCGATTGTCTTGTTGTCCCCCTTCTCGCCGAACGCGGTGTAGTTGCAGTACGATCCATCCTAGTCGACATGTCAGTATGCCGCGTCTGCGCTCGTGGTTGCAAACGCTGAGATGTGCACTTACAATGGCGTCGAGGAAGGTGTTGAACATGCCGACGGCATGCTGGGACTCGGCTTGTTGCTCGCTGTCGGTGAGGAACAGGACCGAATTCTGCGGCCAGATGATGGGATACGAAATCTGGAAGTCGAGCAGCGCTTCGGTGCCAGCCGCCGACTCCGTATTCACATTCACGGCGCCGTCGATCGCGTTGACGGTAGGGAATGTTCCGTTCGGGATTTGGGGCGCGAGGTGGGAGAAGTACAGATCCATGTCGTCTTGGTCTAGGTACTGTGGCGATTCTTCGAAGATGCCCAGCTCGTTGCCGGCGTGGGCGGTCTTGGACTGCGTGATTTTGTACATGGCGAAAATGCAGGCGGGACTGATGTAGTCTTTGCAGTACTCGAGGCTACTGCTGACTGCGAGAATGGGTGTCGGTGCGGCGGTCTTGATGGGTCCGCCGAACTTGGAGCCACTTCGACGGCTCAGGCGTCTTTCGGACATGGAGCGAAGTTCGAGCATCTTCACGCCCGGGGTGATGTAATCTATGTGGTGCCGAACATCTTCCTTGACATGGTACCTGAATGTGTTAGCTCTTATTGCCACCATATGCGCATCAGAGGTCTCGCATACTCATCGCAACCAACGCTGGTCTTGCCCGTCCGGCTGTTTTCGTAGATGTGGTATTGGGTCTTGAGAAGCTGCTCCGCTTCCTGCACTTGTGCTTCGAACTGAAGCCATTGCTTGTTGGTCGACTGCGAGACACGCCCAACATCGATGCCAGCCTCTCCAAGCCAAGCGCGGACCGCATCCACGCTCTCGCTGGATGGAGCAAAGAGATCGTTGATCTCCTCTGCGGAGTAGTACCGACCGTAGTTGGATGAAGTTGGATCGGAGCTGTGACCGTGGATCAGCGTTTGAGGTCCGTAACTGGTAGCTCAGGCACATCGTACACCTCCATTAACCAGTCATGTCCGCGATCCAGATTGCTCTGCGCCAGGCCAATACGCATGGGAAGTGTAAAGGTCGAGGGGACGCTGTCGCGCTTCGTCCAGACGGACCCCTCTTCTCGGCGCTCATGTTGGTGGTAGTGCGCCTTGTAACTTGGAACCGCGGAGACAAAAGACGACAATGCCGCCACGGCAGCGAAAAGTGCCGCCTTCATTGGAGCGAGTGTGAAAGAAAACAAAAAAAACGAAAGTGGTAAGGAATGACGAAAAGAAATGGTAACGAGCGACTCAGAGAGAACGAACGGGGCCGCACACAGATGGGGATGTCAAGCCTGAGCGCAACAGTGGTCGCAGGCCTTATATGTATCTCCACCACCATGATCAAGACCGGCTACGATGTCGGCGTGTCGAGAGAGCCGCTGCTACCGAATTACGAAAGTGCTGCACCGACTCGAGCAAGGCCATGCAGATCCCGAATACGATAGGTGCGGCAACCTCGGCCATGCCCCTAATAGTTTGATGAGAGGAGCATGGCAGGAGCGGGTTAGCACTATAGTCTGATCGCGTGAGGGTAGATGATGAAAGGAGTGTGGAGCATGGAAGGGGATAGAGGGGCAAAAATAGCAGGCGGCACGGCCAAGCGGTGCAACAGCTAGGCGGTATTGGGGTAGATGAGCACGCGAAACTCGACGGCAGATAGTCTACCAGAGGACGCGGATAGGCTCGCGTCGATAGTGGGCGTCGCGAAATTGTCATGGCTAAAGCGAGAAGGTGAAGTGGAAGTCGGTGGGGAATTGGTTCCGCGCAGTACCGCGGCTCTTTTGAGTTCAACCCCCTGGCCTCCTGCAGCCTTGTCGCTTCGACGCACTATTGGATCGTCCATTCGATAGTGGAATGCAATGTGTACCTTCGTACATGGTATTGTTGTCAATGCTGCTGAACCAACCAGCTTCGCTCAACAAGCTCTCCCCCCCGCTTCATGAGACTCATCCACCCCAGAATCTAACTGGCATTAGGGATCGGAATCACCTTCAAGTCAATCCCGGCGCAACTCGACGGCAGCGCATTATTGCCATCCTCTGCAATGGCGACGAAGAGCTGCGGTTCCCCGTACCACCAATCGCAGGCTGCAATCGAGGTTAGCGGGAGCTCAAAGCAAATCATGAGTCTACGCTCGGCAACTCACCAATCCACCCCGTGAACGCACTATTCGACGACGCGATCAGAGTCGCATCCTTCTCCGTCCCGTTGAAAACAAATTGATTCTGCTGACTCGTCGGCGCCGACGTGCCATTATGTAGAAAGTTCGCCGGGGCCCAGGCAGCGAAAGGTGCAAGGTTGTATTGTAGGGTCAGCAAGAAGGCATCGCTGGTAGTTTTGTTGTAGGAGACGTCGTACGTCGCCGGCATCGATCCGGTGGCTGGGGCGCTCTGCTCGGCCGTCAAGGCCGCGGCGTAGGCATTCAGCTTCGTCAATGCGGGCACGGCCAGTGTGGACGACTGCGTGGTAGGGTGCAGAAACAGGTTGTTGAAGGAGGACTTGCTGCTGCTCTGGCCTGGTTGCACCTTGGCTTGCAGGAAGAAAGATTGAGGAGGGAAGTTGGACGAAGCGGCGAGGACTGGCCGTAAGGCCGCGGCCAGACATGCAACGAGGGCGAATGTGTGCATGTTGCTGGTATCAGGTCGAGAATTGCTCAATATTCCGTTGCCCAAACCAGTGACGATATATCTGGGCACTCGTCTGAGTATATAAATATATCGCCGAGGCTGTAGGTGATCGTCAAGCGTGCCGGTGTCCGCGTGAAACGTTAGCGCTGCCTCATTTCCCACTGCACAAGCTTTCGCGTTAAGGCTTGTCGGTAAAATGCTAGCAGGTTTAGCACTACAGTAGATCCACCCACACATGGAGGGAGGATGATGCAGTGAACGAAGTGATGGTTGATAGCGCGGAAACGCGATGACTGCGCCGCGATTCCGCATGTTTGTACGAGCAACGCTCCACAGCATTTCATTTCACACTACGGAGACCAACCGGCCCAATCTTCTCGATGCCTCCAAGGATGTACGGCCTCAAGGCAGTGGGGATGTTGACCGTCCTCGACGACTCATCCCATCCAGTCTCCAACAAACACGCCAGAACTCTTGGAATGGCAATGGCAGTACCATTGACCGTGTACGGCCAGATCGGCTTCCCGCCCCGATCGTCCTTGACTCTGGTGCCCAATCGTCGACTTTGATAGTCGGTGCAGATGCTCGCACTGGTGACCTCACCGTAGCCTTCGTTGATGGCAGCGCGCGACGGAAAGAAGGCCTCAATGTCAACTTTGCGCGTCGCGGAAGCGCCCAGATCCGTGGTGGGCATTTCGAGCACTCTGGCGTGGAGGCCGAGATTGGTGAGGATCTCCGTTTGGATGGAGAGCATCTCGTCGAACACCCTTCGCGTTTGATCGAGCTCATCGAGCTCATCATCCGAGTCGAATCGATTCCCGTCTTGCGATGTCGAGGTCGTCGGTGGAGAAGTCCATGCGAACATCTCTACTTTCGTAAACTCGTGTACACGATAGAGGCCTTTCGTGTCCACTCCTCTGGCTCCTGCCTCAGCCCTGTACGATCTCGAAGGCCCTATGACTTTCAATGGCAAAGCGCTCGCCTTCAACGTCCTTCCTGCTTGCGATCCAGCAAACGGTATCTCTGCCGTTCCAGCCAGGACGAGACTTGGCTTGTCAGCATCTGCAGGTGAGCTCGCATCGCCAGCAATTTCGTATCTCTGCGTCTCCCCATTCTGATCGCGCGGCATGAACCCACATCCACTAGCAATATGGCTGTACACCAGACTCGGAGGCGTCATGACTCTCCAACCCTTTCTCATCGCCACGGCAAGGGCGTACTGTATCAACGCCTGCTCCAGCAGCGCGCCCTCATTCTTCAAAAAGTACCATCCCCACCCGCTGGTGACCGCGCTAGCCTCGAAGTCCAGTATATCCAGCTCCTTGCCAATCTCGACATGACTCCTGCCCTCCTTGCGTCCATGCGATTCATTGACGTACCCCAAAAGCTCAGGCTCTTCCCCCACGGGCGTAACATTCGAGCTCAGGTTTGGCAAATCAATCGCCAGTTTTTCCATCTGCTCTCTCGCCGCGCTCTCCCACTGTTCGAACTTCTGCAAATCCTCTTTCAGCCGCCGCGCTTCTTCCACCAGCGCGCTCACCCCGCTACCCTGTCTGCATGTATCGCTACTCGTGCCCGCCTGCTGCTGTATCTCCCTCCCAAGCGCATTATTCCTCCTCCTGACCTCCAGAATCTCCGCCTGTTTCTTCGCAACTTCATTGTGCAGTTCAAGGATCCGCCACGAGTTCTGCGCGTGAGCGCCGTAGTTGCGATCGAGGCAGTTTTGCTCGTACAAGCCTGGGTTCTGGCGAATGTGCTTTAGGTCGAGGACGGGTTTGGGCGCGAAGGAAGGGCGGGTGTACAGCCTCTTGACGGCGCCATTGTAGGTTTGCGGACTTGATTTGAGGCTGCGGCGGCACGAGGTGCAGATGTAGGGGGTCGTCATTGAGGTGTGGAAGTTTGGAGCTCTGTTTGCGGTGCAAATAATTGGGAGCTTGCAGTGATTCGGAGCTTTGGTCGCTTATTAAGCTGCACGGCTCCAGCATGCATGGCCAACGACATCTACAAGTCAAGACGTTTTATTACCGCTAATGAACACAATCTTTGGTGAACAAGAGTTGTTCTAAGTGGAGAGTCTTTACATCCTGGTAGACTTCTTTCTACGCCGCCATACGCTCAGGCCGATGCTGAAGTTGCTTCACCATCCCAACCCCAGCTTCCGTAGCCTCGTCTAGATCCTCCTCCGGCACACCAAGCAACTCATTCTGCGCCTTGGCCGATAACTCACTCGCATCATCCGGATAAAACATCCTGGCGTACAGCAGCCTGATAAAGCCAAGCTTGTTGCCACTCTTGCCTTGTGCTAGGCCGTTATCGTATCGCTGCTTAGTCGCCTCGTGGGTAATCGTCCAGTCCGCATCACTGGTGCCCGTGACGCGCTTCACGCTGCCGAAGATCTCGTTTTGGCTGAGGACGAAGCTCTTGATGTAGAAAGGCTTGTTCAGCCATGACGAGAGCGTAATGCTCTTGTCGTTTTCGTCATCAGGCAGTTCCTTCAGACTCAGCACTTTAGCCACGGCGCGGCCAACCTGCGACAACGTCGATACCGAGTTTTTAGTATTGCCATCGTCGTAGATTGTCAAAGAGCGCTTGTCAAAATCGAATCCGAGACGCGCTTCGCCGCCCGCCAGGCTGTAGTCGTACCAAAACCCACAGCACACGGTGATCCACCGCATGCCGAGCCTCTCAATGTCATCCCTATTCGCCTTCGCCACCGGGCCCAGCATGACCTCCTGCCCGAGCTTCACCTGCTCAATGTCGCCGGCGTACTCGTTGGGCATGATGTAAGAAACACCGGCTTTGGCAGCTCCTTGGACGAGCTTGCTGTGGGTGTCGCGGGGTGCTGTAGGGGCTAATGTGATGATGAAAAATTGTTGGCCTTTGAGGGCGGCGACGATGGTGCTCTCGTCGTCATAATCGATTGGGGCAACGAGGACGCCGGTTGGAAGGGTGTTGCTGCTGTCTTTGCGGGAGAGGGCTGTGATTGTATGTTTACCGGTTTGGAGAATAGTGGCGACGAGGTGGGATCCAACTGTGCCTCCAGCCTAAGCGCATTTGTTAGTGGATGTATATGTAGTGCTTCCGAAGGGATTACGTTGTACGTACACCCGCAATGGCAACTCTCTCAATTACATTCTTGAAGCCGGCGGGCTGGTTTCTGGCGTATTCAGGCATATTGATCGTTGTCGTATGAGCTTGCTGGGAGTCTGGCCGTTCCGCCTGGAGGCAGAGGACGCCCGTCCATTTATACACATCGGACCCAGTCTCGCCATCGTCTCAGAGTCATGTTTCGACGCCATTTCACCGACAGCCTATTATTCCGTCACCTTGTCCGCGCAGCCAAGCCCTTCGACCTTGTGGCTATGATTCGCGCGGAGATAGCTGGAGTGACGCCCCTCGGCCGAGCCGGAGGAGAGGATTGGTAAGACCATTTCAGCTCAGCAACATGGGCGGCCTGAATTAAACAGTCTCGGAGAGGGCGAAGGTGGCAACTCGCTGGTTCGAAGGAAAATATAGTGGAGCGCAAGTGCAAAGAAGTGTGTCGCGACAGATTGAAATGATCGGCGAAGCTCGCTGCATGCTTGAGCTGCTGCAGCTCCGCCGCCGATCCTGGCGAATTGCCGACAACAACAGCTCTGAGCGGGGAAATATGGACGGCATCGTACTACCGAGCAGCAGATTGGCAATTATCTTATCTATCACACTCAGAGACATCGCCTCATCAATCGTCAAAGCCCTCGAAATCCTCCTCCTGCGCAGCCGTCTGCTTCCTCACCGCAGCAATAAGATCATCCAACTCCATCGCCTCCGCCTTCTCGCTCTCCGACATGCGACCCAACTTCTCCGCCTTGCGTCGAGTCTCCTTGCGATCGCGCCGGACGTCCCGCAACGCCTTGACCTCCTTCTGTCCACTCCAAGCGCGATCCTTGCGCCGTCTCTGATCCGCAAGGTCACCGCCGCCGGACAAGGCGCTTATCTTAACCACCTCCCCTCGAGCACGCGCAGCAATCATCTCTTGTCGTTTCGATTCGCGGACGGCGTCGAGGTATTTCAAATCTTCCAGTTCGTAGTCTGCCGGCACATCTAGACCGTGTTTGCGATCCGCAACGGCTTCGGGACAGTAGCGCTTCAACTCTGGCATTTTGGGCCACCTCAGGAGGCCCCATGACTTGCCGATCTCCACCCAATCGACCTTCCCGATGTCGAAGATGTCTGTTGGGAGGGTCTTGCGAAAGGCTTGAACCCAGCTGACGAACGCTTTCTGACTCCGGTCGTGCAATTCGCGTTTCTGCTTGAGTAGGCTTCGGATAGATTCCACGGCTTGGTTGGCCTCATCGTCTGAGATTGTTGGAGGAGACGGGTATGGCTCTACTTTCGTGCCTTGGATGTCAAGGTACTTGATGTAGTCTTCCTCGCTCCCTTCGTTAAGAAATGTCAGTGCCATCCCTCGTTTTCCCGCCCGTCCGGAGCGTCCACAGCGATGGATGAAATCCTTCGGTTGCGTGGGAGCATCCAACTGCACCACGAGATCGATGTCAGGGATGTCGATGCCGCGCGCAAGGACGTCCGTGGTCAGGAGCACGGCAGGATTGATGCATTCCCTGAACCGTCGTAGGTTCTTGGTCCTGATAGCAGACTTGTGGTCGCCGTGCAATGGGAAGACAGTGACACCGAGCAGCGTCGGCATTACGTGCGACCAATAGTCCACTCCGGCGCGAGTCGAAACATAGACGATGCTCTTCTCCGCCTGCCGTTCCTCGAGCACCTTCTTGAAAGCCGGCAGTTTATGAGTTGCCTTGGTCACGAGGTAGCACAGCTTCAGGCTCTCCGGGGTCCGCTTGTCCAGAAGTCCAGTCTTACTGCGCACTCTCGCGCTGATTTTGAACGGATATCGCATCCCCACCCTCACTAGCTCATCCAAGGCTTCCGAGACCGATGCGCTGAAGAGCCCCGTTCTTCGTTCCTTGGGCACCACATCAAGAATCTTCTGGAGATCCGGCTGAAAGTTGGGATCCAAGAGACGATCGGCTTCGTCCAGAATGAGCAGATCAAACCAAGGTCTCTTCAGAATCACTCTCGACGACTGCAAGACCTCCGACAAACGCTTGGGCGTGCCAATCAGAACATTCGGTCCGAGAGTAGAGAACGTGGCAATGTCCTCGGATAATTTCGTTCGGCCGCCAATCAGCAGTTGCGGAATGATGTACGGTCCGGGCGGAATATCGTCGATAGTTGAAGTCGCTGCCTCCTCGTCCTCCTCATCATCAAGCGAAGGCTGCCGAGCTTTGAGCTTTGCGCTCGAGGGGCTATGAAATTCCAGCAACGCCCGGACGACATCGTAAATCTGCATCGCGAGCTCCTTGGTAGGCGCCAGGACGATACTCCGCACGTAGCCCTTTTTGTTTGGCTCGTCGAGCTTTAACAGCCTCTCCACCAAAGGAATGAGGAAGGCCAAAGTCTTTCCACTCCCCGTTACCGCCTGCATCGAGCCATATCATGTTAGCATCTCCAGCCTAGCGTGTAGTTGCAATAGTGTAGTGCGCCTACCTCGACAATCAGATCTTTATTCCCCATTAGTAGCGGGATGGCCATACTTTGCACCGGCGTTGTGCGCACAAACTGCATGCTTTGAGCGTAGTCGAGGATCCATGTTGACAGTTCCGGCGTCAGCGCCTCGAACGACTTCGGCCGCTTCGTCTGTTCTGCCATTTCGGATGGTTTGCGCAAGGATGGACTGTGTATGTTGCCGTAAATCGTGGCTCTCAGCAAAGGAAAATTTGAGGTCTGGGGAAGTTCAGTTCGATTGGTCCTGTCTTTAAGCGCTAGTGGGTGTACCCTTCACGCTGCAGCTGTGCCAAAGCTTAATGTCAAATTTGACGATGACAATTGGACTGTTCGAGGCTGCGCTAATGGACGTCCCCGTTGTCTACGGCATGCAGGTCACCCGCGTGTCGAGCGTAAGCGCCGACCTGAAATTCTATGCGTCCAAAAGTTCCAGCACAATCTCCGGCAACCTCTGTACGCCCTCCTTCCGAAGCGCAGACACAGGCACAGCGTACATTTGTCTCCGCCACGCATTGGTCTTGCCGCTTGGATGCTCCTCTTCACCCTGTTGCACGCGCTTCAAATACGCCTCCAGCTGGGCGAAGTTCTCCTGCGTCGCATCTAGATCTGCCTTGGTCGCCACGACAAGCCACGGCTTTGCTGAGATTGGCGGGAGGCGCAAGGGCTCTAGAACGCGATCGGATTGTGCATTCAGCACCACATCACCGTCTTCGGAGGACGGTGGTTCGGGATCGAAGGCTGGAGATATCGAGGACGCAAATGGCTGAAACGGAATCAAGCCCTGCGCATCTGGAGCCGGCCCTTCGGTGTCGGAGTTCAGATTCTGTTCTCGCAATTTTTCGTACTCGCCCAGTTCTTTCCACAGCGCCTCCAGAGCGGCCACGGCATCGCCGGCGGAAAGATCGACGACAAAGGCCAACACGGCCGCGCGCTCGATGTGGCGCAAGAAGCCCAGTCCAAGGCCTCTGTCCAGATGGGCGCCTTCAATCAGGCCAGGAATATCCGCAATGGTGAGATTTGGCCTTGCCTCTCCCTTTTTGCTATCGGTCAAGTGAGTGCGACCGCGGTAGGAGTCTAACACCACTGTCCCAATGTTTGGAGAGAGCGTCGTAAATGCCCAGTCACCGATTCGAGTTCGTGAGCGGGTAAGGGCGCGAAGCAGAGTACTTTTGCCGGCATTTGGAAGACCGACCAGGCCGACATCAGCCAGAATCTTCAGCTCCAACTGGAGTTTGACGGTGACACCTTCCTCTCCTTTCGTGCCGTATTTTGGACGTGGTATGCTTTTCGTGACAAAGTGCGGATTTCCGAGCCCACCCATTGATCCTGCAACGAGAAGCATCGGGCTGCTCATTGGCTCATCCAGATCCAGACGGATTGGGGCGAGAGGCTGTGATGCGACGAGATTGCTTCGTCTGGGCCGTGGGAGCGCAGGGAAGTCGGCAGTCGTGAAGTATTTGGGCAGTGTGCCCGGATAGAGCAGCCACTTGTCGCGCCGCCACTTGCCCGTCTGATCTGTCCCATCATCCTCACGAGTGTCGTCCTCTTTCAGATCTCGGCCATAGCCTCGTCTAGCCTTGCGCTCCGCCAATGTCTCTTCCTCCAATGGGTCCCGACGCGATACTTCTCGCACCACTGTTCCAACCGGCACTTGAATCAGCACATCGTCGCCTCGCTTTCCTCCCCTCTGACTTCCTTCGCCATTCTTCCCTCGCCCCGCTTTCACGATGGGCCTCCTTGCAATCTTGTGCAGACTCGTCTCGCCCTTGACAGCTTGGATGAAGACATTTCCGCCCGTGCCACCATCTCCACCGTCGGCGGGTCCATTGGGGACGTACTTCTCGCGCAGGAAAGAGATGCAGCCATGCCCACCGGCGCCAGCTTGCAATTGGACGACGCAAGAGTCGACAAAGTAATTGCTGGAGTACTCAGGTGGTCGAGGATCGAGGTGATCGTATTTGGTGACGTCTACGGATGGCCATGCATCCTGAGGCGTGCTGGCGGTAGTAGCTTGATGGGAGGTTCGGCGAAGGTGGTGCTTCGGCAGGCGGGTTCGTGCTGCATTTCGCAGGGTCGATGTTGTAGCCGTCCACGTGCTATCGAGACATGGATAGAGGAAAGGAGTCTGCGTGCTCCACAGCAGCCTGGGGGCTACGAAGCAAGACATGCAATCCCGCACGTGTTGGATGATGGCAAGCTGAGGTGCAGCAATAATGACAAAATGTGTCTGCTGCATTAAGGCACGGCTTGCGCCACAGCCGGACGATCGCCGAGCTGTGGGCCTCTGCGGCCGGACTGTACCAACGTACCGAGGCTCTTCACACCTCATGCCGTCAATGCTAGTCCCTTAAGTACAACTATCTACTTCCGACTCCTTTCCATGGCCCCCTCACCTTCTCAACTATCAACCTCCATGATGTCGGCCGGATCGTTCATACGAAACGTGCCCCTCAGCCCCGCCGCCACGGGCGCTCTTCTCTATGCCCTCACCAAAGCCCCATTGAAGCTTCGTGAGCCTCTTGTACAGAGATTCTTGCAATACTTCTCGGCCACCACACTAGCCCGTGTCGTCACAGTGCTCAAATGGCTCTTCGCATTAGGCATCGCCCGAAACATCCACATCTGGCTCTCCAACATCGCCCAGAACAACTTCCGAATCCGATCGGAGAAGCACCGCTACAACTGGCCGAATGAAGTCGCCGTCGTCACCGGCGCGGCCAGTGGTTTCGGCGCACTAATCACGAAAGGCCTCGTTGAGAAAGGAATCAACGTCATGGCTGTTGATATCCGAAGCGAGGTGCCGGAAGACATGAAGCTCCATCCCCGCATCCAATGGTATCAATGCGACATCACGGACCGGGAGAAAGTCATGGAGTTGGCGGAGAAGATCCGCAAGCAATACGGCGACCCCAGCATCCTCGTCAACAACGCTGGCATCGCTTATACTCACGGCATTCTCAGCGCATCCGAGAAGGCGCTCCGTCGCACTTACGATGTCAACATCCTCTCTCACTACTTCACCCTGCAGGCCTTCCTGCCCGCCATGATTGCCAACAAGAAAGGCCACGTCGTCGCTATGGCGTCCATGTCGAGCTTCGTCACTCCGCCTGGCATTGTGCCTTATGCCAACACCAAGGCTGCCGTCATGTCGCTCCACGAGGGCCTGATGCAGGAGGTGCGAGTCGTGCACAAGGCTCCCGAGATCAAGTTCTCCATCATTCATCCCACTTTCGCGAATACACCTTTGGCGGCACCGTTCATGAAGGAACTGCAGGAGAAGAAAGTGTTTGTAAGTTTGCTGCCATGCAGGAGTTACGTAATGAGCCAGATTGCTGATTAGCCTCCAGGTCCTTGATCCAATCGACGTCTCCAACGCCGTCGTCAATCAAATCATGTCTTGCACCGGCCGACAGGTGCTTATTGGTGACATCAACCTCTTGAGAGGCTTGCGGGCATGGCCGCATTGGCTGACACAAGCCATCATTCATCTCACGGACGGCACAGTCGACGTAGCTATCGTAGGAAAGGAAACGACATCGAGCTGAGGATTTTCATAGCGGCTCTCGTACTATATACCAATGTGTTAGGTTCGTAGGATCTCCAAAGAGCAATAGCAGGTACAATAGAAGTGCTAATTAGGTCGTTATCGCTACTCCCTGCCTCCGCAACTGTGCTCTACTAAACCACACCAACCCAGCCATTGCCAGCACTAAGCCCACGCCGTTCAGCCAATTCACGGCAACCCCAAAACACAGCATTCCAAACCCAATCGTAAGAATCTGCCGCACATTGCCACAAATCGACATGCCCATCGGACCCGTGATAATGGTCACCTGGGAGTAGCACACATTGAGAACAAACGCAGTCAACAAGTTGAGCAGCAAGCAGTGCGCGAAGAAGCCGGCGTGGAGATCTTCCATCCGCACCGTTCGCAGCAAACCAACTTCTCCCACGAGCCATGCGATGACGAGACTTTGCAGCGCTGCGATGGGCGTCATGAGATACAGGATGTCCCAGGGCGTCAGGAGAGGCGCGGATCGCGTGATGAGTTTGTACATCACCAGAGCCTTGAGGGGCCCGATGAGTCCTCCCAGCAGTGTCAGCGCAAGTCCCGTTGATGTCCAGTCTGCTTCGCCGATTGTAGCGAGCACGCTGCCGATGGTGAGGAGGAGCATGGATAAATATTCGCCTCTGGAGTAGCGTTTGGGGAACCAGATTGTGCAAAGGCAAGTCGTTACGATGGTGGAGAGCGGGCGGAGGAGTTGATGCAGGGACACGCTGACGAGGGCGAGAGAAGCATTTGAGATGCCGACGTTGGCTGTGAACAGGGTGGCGAGGCTCACGATGGTGGGACTCGGACGCCAAACACGCTCAGGGTTTGACGGGATGCCGCTGAGTTTCAGGGTCAGAAAGCACCCCAGGTATGTTGCGATCGAATGCGCCGCTGTCAGGAGCCATGGTAGAGGGAGCTAGACGATGCATGAGCGCAACCATTCTATAACACGAAACACGATGGTTACAACACACCTTCTGTAGAACAGCCTTGTTGGACAGCGCTATTACCAAGTTCAAAAGCAGGTATGCGGCTAGGTAGACAAGTTTGAGGAGCATCGACTGTTGACATTGCTGCTGGAAGTCAAGCGATGCGCGTTCGACTCGTGGCAACGCATATTCGTCGTTTTCTTAAGGTTCTCGCTATCGTCTGCTTTTGATTTGTTGCTGAGGAGTGGCCATGCTTTGAACCAAGTGATGGAGGAGATCAGACGCATGCTGGCGTGTGAGATGGAATGGATAAGTGAGGCAGAGAAGACGTGATAATATGCCACTACGGAGTGACATCGATAGATGCCGGGACGCGTGTTGTGTTATAGTGATGAGGGGAAGAATGGGAAGTAGCGGCTGGCAGGAGAAAGACGGAGAAGTCACGAAGGAAGTAGCGATGCAGTGTTTCACATGTCATAAAAGTACCTTGGCCATCTGCTTGTCCTGCTGCAGCCCTGCTGCTCAATTGACCGTCGCTCATCATGCTAGGCGTCCAGAGTCTCACTCTCTATCCCAGTACTCAAGTGCCCGACGTAATCTCACACCATTCCCACCGCGTTGCACGCCCATCGCAAAAGCTCACAACATCGTCTCCTGCCTCAGAACCGCAACAAGCTCGCGATGAGCCCACGGATCGCACACATGGCACCGATACTCGCCACTGCTCGTGTCCGCCGGCACCGCCTCTGCCATACACGTCGTATGCTGCCACACACCACACTCGTCGCAGGCAATCATATCCTCGCCGTCGTCCTCAACCGCACCACATACGCAACGCACGGAATCGTTCTCTTCACCTTTGGCGAAGTTGGCCTTGCTGAAGAACTCTGGCATGAGGTCCGGGTCTGGGTGTGCTCCGCGCAGGTGGCCTTTTTTGGTACGTTTGCTGGGGATCCGCTGGATCTGTTGGGCGCGAAGGCGCTGATGACGCGTTGTGGCGGCTTCTTTGGCTTGGTCGGGGGTGCGAGGTAGTGCGGCGCCGGTCACGACTGCTTCGAAATTGCTGGGCTCGTCATCGTCGTCGTTGTCAGCTTTGACCTTCGAACGACGGTAGGTCTTTTTGGGCTTCTTGATAGGCTTCATGACTGCTTCAGGGGTGTCGCTTAGCTTGAACTTCTTCGTGGGTGGTGACTTTGTCGCTGGTGGAGCTTGTGGCGCGTCATCTTCTTCGAACTCTGCGTCTACTTCGGAGGAGGGCGTCAATGCTCGTTTATTGCTGCCGTTCCTCTCCTTGACGGGTACTTTGATTCCGCGTCCTGCCAATGCTGAGATGCGTGGGTCAACGACGGCGAGCTCGGTGGGTGGATTCTGCCCCTGAAAGGTGCTGAGGATTTCCGCGGCCTCTTCTCCGTGATCCATGCTGGCAAGCTTGGTGAGGGCTGTCTCCGTTTGAATGGTATTTGAAAGTTCGGCGGCTGCAGATTCCCCTTGGGTGATGTTGACGCGCTCAGTAGGCTCCGTGCTTGCTTGAGTGACGTTGTCGTTATCGTGTCTCTCAGCTGGAGTGCTGGTGCCGTTGAGGGGGCGCGGATTACCAAGTGCAGCGATGATCTTTCGAATGAGCTCAGGGTCGGCAGCCGGGGCTGGACCTTCCGATGCAATGGACGGTGGGTGGTGGGGATCGGCCATCACTTTCGTGTCGACAGGAGGCGATGCGGAGCGCTTGTAAGCGTAGAGGGCCTCCCGGAGATCAGCGTAGAAAGGAGGAGAAGTCTGGTTAGAAACATCATCAGTCCTGTCCGTGTTAAAAACTTCACCCTCTGTTTGCTGCTGCTGCAGAAGAGGCAAGGACGTGTTTGCTGACGACGGTGTTGACAGCTTTGCCAGCTTTGTGTTGAGCTGGCCCATACTGTTTGCAAGTAAGTTCGCCTTTGTCAGGGTGAGACGTGATTTGGGATGCACGGCGAGGGTGCGAGGTGAACTTGGTGTCTCACATCACAGGTAGAGTAATAGTAAACGAAAACGGGAAGTTGTACAGTCGCAATGTTCGACAGGCAGCCAATCAATTGCTTACCTAAGGAGGTGAGGTTGGAGAGAGGTCGCAGGGTCACTTAGCATTATTAGCCCACGTGACACAAGGACGCGGTCAGTCAGGAGGCAATGCATAGGCAAACGCGAACACTGGGGGCAGCAGTGCGAGAAACAGCACGACACCGCCTACATGTCAGTCAATGAAAATTCGGAGCGCGCTGTTTGCAGGCCTAGCATCCGCGGCTCCAAGGCCATGTTGTGAAGTGAGGTTGGCTTAAGCTCGCCGAGATCTGGTTGAATGCCTATGAATCAGCCCGTCGTGCTTCGTGCCTTCCGCAAGCCAGCCATACTTGCCATGACAAAGACTGTCTCATCTCTTCCATTATCAGGACGGAGTCTATGCCTCGCGAGTTGCTGGACAACGGCGGAACCAGAAAGCTGCCTCTTCATATCATGTGAGATTTCGTCTAGCTGAGCTTCGACGATGAGAACTTCGCGGAGACCCAACCTACGGACACGGCCAAAGATGCGAGATCTTATGTTCAAAATACTATCTGAATCAACCCGTGAGACATCGTAACGGTCCAATTGCAGGCGCGTGGGGCGTGTGATGGCGGAGACCTCCCGCACGTGGCTCGCACGATGTCCGCAAAAGCTGGGGAAGGCTCCGACGCTTCCCCGGACTCCAACCTCGCCTTCCCGTGTTTCTTTGCCGATATCACAAGCCTTGTTTTGGACGAGAAGATCAGCCTCAGTCTCCCCAGAGCAGAAGGAGCACGCGGGAGTCCAACAGCCGTGATGCTTCTACCACAGTATCGCAGCCGTCCAGCACGGCAAATCGACCTGCTGCAATTGCCGTAATACCCCGTGCTCTGCGCGTGGCAGATACACGAGGCACTGCGTGCATTTCCCCCGCGTCGGGGCTAACAGCATTCCAGCAAATCAGCAACGCGGGGCCCCAGTCACGAGTGGATGCGATCCCTGCATAACGGCCACGGCCAAGGCCAGGCTCGACATTTGCAGTTGTACTTGCCGCCGACCAGTGTGATCGGCAGTTCGGCCACTTAAAGGGTGGTTGTGCCTCCCTTAGCTCTCTCATCGTGGCACCGCAACATTCAACGACCTTGGGAGTTGCAGCACTCCAATTGCGTTTGCTGTGATTGCTCAGGCTCGACGTATTCCTCCGTCCCTGCAAAGAGCGTTGATCACGAACTTGAGGCGACTGCGCCGTAAACCCCCTTCGATCACCCAGCATGGAGATGAACTCGGATGCAAATGTAGGCTCTGGTAAATGCTGTCGCTTCAACGAAGCTGACCCTGTGCGCAGGAGCTCCATCAGATCGAGAAGGAGTTGAATGTCGAGATTCTTCCGGGCACCGAGATCATGACGGATGTTGGCTCCCATCACTTCGTCAAGGGCTCTCGCCATGTGGTATGTTATGGATATCAATAAATAATCTACAGCCATGCTGACTTTCTATCGTGCGTCGTAGCTTGTTCCTCAGCCTTCGTCCGATCCGCACGATCCACTCGTAAGCTCCCATTGAACGGAGTGCTATCAAATGGCGTGCTGACTTGCTGCAGAACTGGACTCCTCTCTGGAAGTCGTTGGCAATCATTTCGGCAACGACCGTCTCCTTCACGCAAGGCTTCGGTCCGCTATCGCTTGCACCCACCTTTGGATATCTCATTGAGGCATTCCACAGCAATCTGACCGATGTCGTAAGGTTTACGGGCGTGGCCATCCTGGTCCTCGGCTTCAGCAACTTCATCTGGTAGATGACTCTAGCACGTAGATCCGAGGCATACAGACCTGACTGATGTAATGATCTAGGGTTCCTCTCAGCACTTCCTTCGGCCGTCGTCCAGTCTACATCGTCTCACAACTCGTCTGTCTCGGGTCTGCGGTGTGGCGCGCTCGCGCAACAACATACGGCAGTTTCATGGGAGCTTGCGTTCTGAATGGCATCGGTGCCGGACCCGCAGAAACAATCCAACTTGCCGTGATTGCCGACATCTTTTTCCTCCACGATCGAGGCTTTTGGAATACGCTCTACTGGGTCTTCTACATGGGATCTCTGATGGTTGCCCCTATCATCTCCGGCAGCATGGCGCTACATCTGGGCTGGCGCGCATTCTGGTGGCTTTACTTTGCCATGACCATTGTCTCTCTGCTCATGGTCATCTTCATGTTCCCCGAGACGAAGTGGCACCGACTCCATCCCGACGAGATTCTCAAGAATGCATCAACTTCGCCCCTCGAATCCTCCGAAAAGGTCATTGATAAAAAGGAGGAGGTTGAATACAGCAGCACGGCTGCCAACGACAACCTCGCACGCGAAGAGACAGCCGACCGTGATCCCTGGCTGGGCAAAGGTAAGCCTAGCAAGCAACAATGGAAGTTTTATCAACCCAACGCCAACCCTTGGAATTCCATCCTCATGGACCTGTGGATTCCTTGGAAACTCTTCGCCTTCCCCATCGCCGAATTCACCGCCTTCGTCGTCTCGTGGTCCTGCAGCTCCTTCCTGACCATCAACCTGACGCAGGCGCAGAACTTCGCCGTCCCGCCGTACAATTTCACCTCGCAGACTATCGGCTTCACCAACTTTGCCATCCTCATTGGCGCATTCATCGGCCTGGCGACCAATGGCATTCTCTCGGATTGGATCAGCGACCGAGCAACGAGGAAGAACAAAGGCATCCGCGAGCCGGAGATGCGACTCCCCGCCATGATTCCCTACGTATGCATAATGATTCTCGGGAACTTCGTCGTGGCGTTTGGATATCAACAGAAGTAAGTCTTGTGCATCCCTCGAACACACTCTATTCCCCTTCTGACACGAGATCATCACAGATGGCCCTGGGAAGCCATCGTCATCATCGGCTACACCTGCGCCGGCATTCAAGTCGCCTCCATCCCCGCCATCGTCACCACTTACGCCGTCGACTCGTACAAGCCCGTCGCCGGCTCGCTGATGGTCGCCGTCACCGTCAACAAGAATGTATGGGGCTATGGGTTTGCGGAGTTCATCACGCCGTGGATCATCAAGCAGGGCTATATTCCTGTACGTTTCCCCCCCTCCGTGCTCATTTGCTGTGTGGGTATACTGATTAATTTCCTTAGCCGATTATGACTAACATGTCCTTGATCACGCTGTGGTGCTCTTTTGGCATCTTGTTCTACTACTGTGGGAAGACGTTTAGGAGGTGGTCGAGGAACAGCTCAGTGCATAGGTTGTAGTGCGTGGGTGTCGTTCCCTTCCATGTTGCGGCGATACGCGAGCTCATGAGAAAAGCGGGAAGATGTAGCAATCCAAATGCGATTCGATTATGTGTCATTCCCCGTCGTAGAACGAGCAGATCTCTCATTCAGCTCGTTGTGCAGTCTGCCCCTTCCAATCACCGTCACAAATTCCCGAGGGTATCTCAACCAGCCCCAAACCAACGCCACGCTCGAAAGGCAATCCACCAATCTATCTCCATCCGTTGTAGTCGCTATCCTCACATCATACATCGTGATTCCATATGCGAGTATCGCTCCCTACTCCTCATCTTCTGAGATATCGTCCATCATCGGCCTGCCTCTCCGGCCTCCCCCTCCAAAATATGCAGGATTGTTATAACTCCCCAGCAACCCCTCCTGATCCATCGAAACGTGTATCTCCGGCAAAAACGGCGTCGGACTCTGCGACCTCTCCGCCCCGCCTCGAAAGCTCGGACTAGGCATGCCCAAATCCGCCTCGTAGAACCCCATATCGGCCTCCAGCTCCGCATCCGCAGAATGGCCGCGCGAATGCCGGGGCAAAAACGCGGAATGCCTCCCGCTGCTGTCTAGTGAGAGCAGATTTTGCTCGACTTCGGAGCCGCGGCGGCTGTGGTTTGGCGGGGTGATGACGGGGTCGTAGAGCCAGGCGGATTTGGGGTAGATGTCTGAGCTGGCGGCGCTACGTTTCGAGGCGCTGCGGTTGAGGAAGGGGATGGCGAGGGCGAAGGGGAGGAGGGGTTTGCCTTGCTTGTGGCGGCGGGTGAGGTAGAGGGCGGCGAGGAGGAGGACGATGGCTGCTGCGGAGGCGCTGGAGGCTATGCCTGCTACGGCTGCGTTGGAGATTGGGTGGGAGGGGGCGGAGTGCGGTGGGGCGTTGGTGGTTTGCGCGGGAGCTGTGGTGCTGGTTGTTGCGGATGTTGATGTGGTGGATGGCGCATGTTGCCGAGTGGTGGATTGTAGGGTTTGGGTTGTGTGGGGTATTATCGCTGGTGTGGTGGTTGTCGAGGAGGAGGAAGGCGTTGCGCTCGAAGATGTTGTGGCGACAGTGGAAGACCGCGAGGCGGGCGTTGAGGAGAAGGTATCGGTAGGATTGGAGGAAGGTGTGAAAGAGGAATGGCTGAATGCTGCCGCGGACGAGGCTGGATGCAGAAAGGTGGCCAAGAAAGAGCTGGCATCGGAGTTTAATGCAGAATCGATGCTGCTTGGAAGAGCGCCTTCGAGAACGGAGAGCGCATTCTGCGTCGCTGTGGTGGCAAGAACTTGCCGGAGCTCGTGAGGCGAGGATTTGGTGGCCGATGGGTTCGGGGTGGAGGGTGGCGAAGGGAGTTCCTCAGCTGGCAGGGCGGTACTTCGTGCAATGCAGAAGGTAAAGGCCAGATAGAGCAACTGGCGATCGAAGTGCATGACGGCGAGTTTGGAAACGAGCGAGAGGGGCCAAGAGAGCAAGTATTAACGACAGTTGAGGTGTAGTAGAGCAATGAGCCCGATGTTTCAGGTTGTCATCGCGCCACCATATAGATAGGATGAAGAGACAAGGAAATAGGTAAGTGAAGAGTGAAGAGTAGAAAAGAGAAGAGAGACGTCAAAAGAACACTTCGCTCGGCCGCGGGACAACATCATCCGCCTACTTTCCCCAACGACATAGTGCTTCAAGGGTGAATATTAGTAGATGGATGATCGAGAGCTGCGGCCAGTAAATTCCCCCCGCGCATGCAGCCACCCGCGCGTGGGCTTCTAAATTGGGAAACACGACTGTGGCGCGGCCGGACGATCCTGGACCCCTGCCGCCTGTTCGGGCGAAGATGTGCAGAAATAGGACTGGAGGTGCGCCAAAGCCATGTGCGTGTGCTGGAGGATATCTCAGGGGATGCGGATGCTTCGAGCTCCGACGTGTACCTTGCGGATTCTTACTTGCATGGTGTTGGTGTTGTTGCCCGTCGTTCTATTTCACGAGATGAGGCGTAGAAGCGTGGAGGTCGTGTGCCTACTCCTCAGGCTCGTCATATCGTGTCGACCTGGATCTGTATTCCAAGTTTCACCAGAGAGTGGGGCTCTTCGTCTGCTGGCGCTCTCTCATGGAATACAATGTCCCCAACAGGGCTCATTGATGTTGTCGTGATGTTGACTGATGAATGAGAGAAGTTGTGTGTTCGCTGATTGGCTCATGCGTCTGGCGGCTACTACATCTGGTTAGCGTGGGACAGCTTAATCGATAAGCAGCACCAGCTCCAAAGGCAAAATCTCAATTTCACAAGTCTCCCCCAAGTGAATGCAGTCGACCCTTTGCCTTCGCAGCCTACGCCCAATCAACTGCAGCAGAATGGCACGCACCAAACAGAAAGGGCGTCGCGGTCGAGGCGGTCACCGTGGAGGTGGTCGCGGAGGCGGCGGCGGCGGGGGGGGCTCGCAGCGTCCACCGCAAGACAACCGCCGCTCGGAAGAGATCGTGAAGCAGAACGAGAAGTTCCAACGCTACTACAACACCCTCGACATCGTCCCGGATAGCACAGAGAACCAGGCATTCTGGGCCAGCCTACGAAGAGAGCTGCCCAACAGCTTCCGCTTCACGGGTTCGAAAGGCCATGCCTTGGGTGTGCGCAACAACCTCGTCGAGCGCTTCTTTCCCATCATCAGCAAAATCGAGCACGATGGACGGCCGGTGGAGATCCCCACGCAGATTCCTTGGTTTCCTGACGGGTTGGCATACACAATGAAGACGCCGAAGAATGTGGTGCGCAAGTACGAGCCGTTCAAGGAGTTTCAGAGGTTCTTGGTCAGTGAGACGGGTGTGGGGAATATTTCGAGACAAGAGCACGTGTCCATGATCCCACCGCTTTTGCTCGACATCAGACCCGAACATACCGTGCTGGATCTCTGTGCTGCTCCCGGGAGCAAGAGTGCGCAGCTGATTGAGGCCATTCACGCTGGCGAGGAAGAACGAGTGCTAGCAGCCATTGCGAAAGTGAATGGCAAAGAGAGCGCTTCCAATGGTGCGCCGCTTGCCGAAAGCGAGCAGTATGACAGCGGGAGGAGCACTGGCTTGCTTGTCGCCAACGACGTCAACTACCAGCGCGCACAAATGCTAGTCCACCAAGTCAAGCGCTTGAACTCCCCCAACCTCATCGTCACCAACCACGACGCAACCATGTTCCCCTCCATCGAACTTCCAAGCCTTCCTGCCGCGCCAGGACAGCCCAAGAAGGGCAGATATCTCAAATTTGATCGAATCCTGGCCGACGTACCATGCAGTGGTGATGGCACATGTCGAAAGAACCCCTCCATCTGGAAAGACTGGAGCCCGCAAAACGGACTGGGTCTGTACATTACGCAGGTGCGAATTCTCACCCGTGCGCTGCAGATGCTCAAGACCGGCGGCCGAGTGGTCTACAGCACGTGCTCGCTCAATCCGGTGGAGAACGAAGCCGTGGTTTCGTCTGCGATCGAACGGTGTGGCGGTGTGGCGAAAGTCCGCCTCGTGGATTGTAGCGACAAATTGCCATCTTTGATCCGGAGCCAAGGCCTTCCAGACTGGAACATCATGAGCCGCAACGGCAACATATACGAGTCGTATCCCGAAGCCGAGCAATACGAGACAGAAGACAGCAAGATTGTTCCTGGAATGTTCCCACCGGGCCCAGAGGAACAGATCCCTTTGCAACACTGCATGCGAGTGTATCCCCACCAGCAAGACACTGGTGGATTCTTCATCGCCGTCATGGAGAAACTGAGCGAGATTCGTGCAAAGCCGGAAGCGGAGAGCAAGAGTATGAAGAAAGACTGGAAGTTTCAAGGCCCTCCTGCCGCTGTGGCGGAGGCGAAGGCGGAACCCGAAACCCTGGTTGGGGAGATTGTCAAAGAGATTGATCAACACCAGCCGCCAACGATCTCCGAAGCCGATACAGACTCTGCTGCTGCACGGCAAAATGCGGCACCAGAAGTGGATGCCGGCGTTGGCACCAAGAGGAAGGTTGCGGAGGAGCTGCAGCCGGAGCCACGCAAGCGCAGAAGAGATGACGGTGCAGCCAACGAAGAATCCTTCAAGTACCTGGATCCCAACCACCCAGAGCTGGAGAGCATCTACTCGTTCTACGAGCTCACCCCGGACTTTCCACGCGACCGCTTCCTCGTCCGCAACCCGGCCGGCGACCCGGTGAAGGGCATCTACTACAGCAGCCAGCTGGCGAAAGAGATTCTGGTGACGAACGAAGGGCGCGGGATGAAATTCGTGCACGCGGGCGTCAAGATGTTCATGAAGCAGGACAGCCAGGGGCAGGACATCTGCCGCTGGAGAATCCAGACCGAGGGTCTCCCGATCATCGAAGGATGGGTGGGCGAAAGTCGCGTGATTCGGCTGAGAAAGAAGTCCACGCTGCGCAAGTTGTTGGTCGAGATGTTCCCCAAGCTCAAAGTCGATGAGAATGGGGAAGGCGGGTGGAAGGCGCTGGATGAGGTTGGGAAGCAGGTTCTGGACATTGGGATGGGGTGTTGTGTTTTGAGGGTCGAGGCGAGTGAGGGTCCGGACGGGTTTGAAGAGCCGCTGACTTTACCTCTCTGGAGGAGTATGCACTCGCTGAACCTGATGCTGCCGAAGGAGGAGCGCAAGGCGATGCTGTTGCGGATTTTCAACGAGGATACGGAGCTGGTCAATCATGATATGAAGGGCGGGAAGGCGGCAAATGGAGAGGCTGCTGTCAAAGGGAGTGTTGCTGCAGAGGAGGACGCGGTGGAAGTCGAAAGGAAGATTGAGGCTGATGAGACGATCGAGGTTGAAGAATTGGGGGAAGATGCCAAGTTGGGGGAGCAGCTCGCTGCTGATCAGGATGCGCTGGCTGCGGAGGATATCGTGCGGGCTGAGGAGCTTGAGAAGATGGAGACGGAGGAGACGAAGGTGGCCGATGCTATGCCGGAGAGAGCAGGCGAGGGCGATGAGGCGAACACGACAGTGTGAAGCGTTATGCTCGCATCTCGCCAGTTGGAAGGGGTGGAGTGTTGAGTACAGATTTGACATGTACACAGCAGACAGATCCATCCCAATCAAGGTTACTGGTACCTCTCACTGCATTTCCAGGTGCACTACCGCGACTAAAGCAGTCTATATGGAGCCGTGCCACGCTGTCAGCATGTGCCCACGCGACACAGCACGACAGGTTCCGACGGATGGCTAGTCAGGGTCTGTACCACTTTTTGACAGGTGTGAGGAGGGACACACACGATGCTGGCTCTTTGTTGGATATGGCGTTTGAGTCCAGAACATCATCCGAGTGGACTAACCACCCAATATCGCCTCGAGGTTGTCACGGAGTCGTTCCTTCCGTGTGCTGCATCCATTGCGTGATTACCTAAGCCACCCAATGCCCCGTGCGCGGCTCTAGCTTTCGCCCCGCGCCACCGGCACGCCCCACCCGCTCGAGTCCCGGGTGGAGATTCCGACCCATAACTTCCCGATCGAGGCAGTCGAGCACGGGGAGTCCGCGTGGGCTATCTAGATCTCTCGGCACCTCTCAGCATTCACCTCTCCTTACTGCTGGGCGTTATCTTTCTGCCACGCCGTCTTGGATCCCTCCCACACTCATTGGCTGCTCCCACCTTCCGCCCATTGCACGACTGCAACGACTTCCTCCGCCCCTCGGCCATGCGCGCCTCCTCCTCCTATCCCCGATATCGAGGAGATTCCACACCCGTCTCCACCGCATCGCGGTAGTTCAAGCATGAAAACACCCTCCCCCCAATAGCCACCTCTGAGCGACAGCGCTGGCCGGCCGCCTCGTGCGCGCCACAATACCCTCCACCATGTCGAGTCTCAATACCCTGCACCCCCGAGGCCTCTTCGACCAACCTCCGCCTCCGCCGCAGAGTCGAGCAACGCGCAATCCCACCCTGCTCTTCAGCTGGTGGTGCACCATATTCTCCGCCGTCATCATCATCATCCGCCTGTGCGGGCGCAAGACGCGCAGCAATCGCCTCTTCCGCGAAGACTGGATCATGATGGCCAGCCTCGTGCCGCTCTTCATCCGCATGGCCTTCATCCACGTCGTCCTCCTCTGGGGAACAAACAATGTGCAGACGGTCGGCATACACTACACTCCCGAAGACATTGCGCACCGTGAGATTGGCGCGCGCCTCGTGCTCGCCGCGCGCATCTTCTACGCCGCCTTCATTTGGACGTGCAAGCTTACCATCTCCGAATTCCTCAAGCGCATCACCATTCGCATCTGGCGCAAGTCATATGAGTGGATGCTGCGCGGCATCCGCGTCTTCCTCGGCATCACCTTCTGCCTCGTTGTTATTGAGACCCTGAGCGAGTGCCAGCCCTTCGACCACTACTGGCAAGTCATCCCCGATCCCGGCGCGAAGTGCCGCACAGGTTATGCGAACCTCATCACCATGGGCACGTGTGATATGATCACCGACATCCTGCTCGTTGCCTTCCCAATCCCCATCATTGTCCGCTCCGGCCAGACGTGGAGGAGGAAGCTGCAGTTGAGCTCGCTGTTCAGCCTGTCCATCATTCTCATCGCCATCACTGCCGCGAGAGTGCCGCTGGTCATTGAGCACCTTGGCAGACAGCAATACCGCACCGTCTGGGCCTCCTGTGAGATTATCGCGGCGACGGGTGTGGCGAATGCTGTCATCATTGGCTCCTTTCTCCGCGACAAAGGCACCAAGAAGAACAAGTACCGCTCCAACAGCGTCTCGGACAGTCTGGAGCGCACTTCCACTCGCCGACCTACTCTCGCCCAGCTGCATGACACAGGCAGTGAGGAGAACCTGTTTCGCTTCCTCGGGATCCGCATGCCCGACCACCTGCAAGAAGAGGCGGAAGATGGGCCCCGATTAGCCCCACCCGCTCTCCCAGCAACCTCTACGCCGATGCGCACGCTCAACAGAACTCAAGAAGCACGAGAGAACAACCACAGCAGCGACTCCGACGACTCTCTGAACAAATCTCACGCATACCAGCCCGTTGCGGCAGCCACTCCCATCTCTCCGTCCACACAGACTGCCAACTTCTTTGATGTCGGCGGCTTGCTGGAAGACAATCCCCGCTCAAACTCACGCACCCGACATATTCCCTCCACTCTTTCCGCCCACAACAACAACACCACAACCCAAGACTTTGCCACCCCATCTCCAGGGCAAAGCAGACGCGGTTCCCACGCCTTCCTGCAAGACGTAGGCGGCCTCACAACGCCGAGCACAGGGAGTCGCAGCACCAACGGCTCTTCCAATCACCACTTCTCCCGCCCCCATCGCCCATCAGCCCCAGCAGGCGTCCTAGGCCCTATGCTCGAGCGCCGCGAAACGCAGCAAAGCCTGCAGGACGCCGGGGGGCTCCTGCTCTCCGACGACGACCTCATCACGCAAGAAGCTCCCTCTTCCTCCTCATCCAGCAATAACAACTTCCACACCAGTGGGGGCAGGGATAACAACCATACCACCTCCCTCATTCGTGCCCTCTCCGATGGCCCACCGGCTGATTATCGTCCGCCTCGTCATCAAGCCGCAAGGCCGACCAGACAGCGCCAATCGCCCACCATAGCGGACGTAGGCGACTTGCTGTCCGGCTCGCATGAACCCGATGCCAGCGCGGCGGCGTTGGAGAGGCGCTTGGCTGGTGCTGAGGGAAGGAGGACAGAGGTGCCGCGGATACCGCCGCCTCCGCCGTCGTCGGCACAGCCGGGCTCGGGTGAGGACGGACAGGCGGGATGGGAGGGGTTGAGTCTTGGTGATGCAGGCGGCTTGTTGGGTAGGTGAGGAGGACTACTGTACAGGTGTAATGGTGATTAAGGGAATGATGATATTGAGCGTGGTGCTTGGGCGTTTTGTTCTACTTTGTGGGTGTACATGGCACCAAAGGGATGGACACTTTTGCCCCTTGCGGAGACGGAATTTGCATTCCCCAGTGGGGAGTGGAAAGCGGATTGGGTTTCGTTTTTGGAGGTTGATACCCTGGGACCCGGCACGCTGTCTGTCGGTGTTTCCCGTTTCGTTTCGCGGATTATCAAAATGGAATGGAGGATGTTCAGTTCGCTCATATCGCTATCGCACACTGTGCACACTTTGTTTTGATACGATCTACAATCGCCATCCCTTCCGCGACTCACTCCATCCCTTCATCCCAAGGCCCACCACCCCCCTCGCCTCCAAAGAACAGGCCCCCAAAAAGATCAACTCCCGCCGCATGATCCCACGAACTCTCCTCCTCGAACCCCGCCATGCTTGTCCCGCCTCCCGTGCCGATGTTCAAATCGCTCCAGGAATTCGCGCCCCAGGAGTTGCTGGGGTCGGCGATTGGGAAGGTCAAGTCGAGGAAGGCCGTCATGTCTGTGTCGGGGTTCGTGGAGGTGGGGTAGGTGTAGGGAGCGAGGTCGAAGGGGTTGTTGGTGGTGTTATTGGAGTTATTGGAGTTTTGGAGGGGGAGGGAGAGGTAGTCTTGTGGTGTGGAGGAGGTATTATTTGATGCGGGGAATTGCTTTGTGGAGGGTGTTGGGTAGGAGGGGGATTGGGAGGGGTGCGTATTTGATGGTTCGGGTCGGTTTTCGTGAGTGCTGGTAGCGAAAGGAGCGTGTCCTGCCCGCGTATTCGCAATCTCCTCATCGGAGAACAAGTCCTTGAGATTCATGTCGAATTTCGGCATCGTCATTCTCCGAAACTGCTTTCCACGCTTCAACGAGGACGCAAGTCCAGGTATGGTGGGCGAAGACACGGCAACGTCGCTGCTGAAGTATTCCCCTGGCGTACCGAGGAGTTGCGCACTCAGCGTGGACGCCGTGCCGAAGCCTGTGGACTTTTCGACCATGGCGATGGTGGCTTTGCTCATGCGGATTAGGGCGTCGCGACAGGCTTCCGCGGGTGGACAGCGCTCGCTGAGGTCGGTGAGGACGGAGGTGGCGACGAGTATGGTGAAGTCGACGTCGTCTAGAGTCAGTTGTGCGCGGACTAGGGGTGAGTGCCAGATTGCGTAGAGGAAGGAGATGCCTGCGGAATGAATCAGTAAGGGTCATGGAGCTGGGAGGATGCGGCGTTAGTCCTATACCGCTCATAAAGATGTGATCTGGGTGCTCTGTTAGCGAGGAGTCTGCCAGCTGTTCAAGATTCGACTTACGGGAAGCAAGAAAGGTATAGTTGACGAGCTTTAGACGATGGAGTTGGCGGTAGATCTTGAGAACGCATTGCCCGGCTTGGGCAACTTTCATAAAGACCTGGAAAATATCAGTCAGCCTTCATCTAGCATGCTTTCGTATATGAAGGCGATCGCGTACTAGTTGTTCATCCTCCTTCATCTCGGTATGGATGGCTCCGGGACTGCGCACATCGCCGCCGGCTGATGACTGCACTCTATTAAAACGCTCGATTAGCCAGTATACGATGAGGTAGTCGGAAAATCAGTAGAAGGCAGAACGCACTCTGCAGCCAAAGCTTCAGGTACCGCCAGGCTATTCCTATACAGCAAAATGGTGGCTTGCCAGTAGTTTAGTTCGAAGAACAGCGGAGTGAAGCCGACATTGATGTGTTTGGCTTCGGGAATGGACTCCTTCCACCCGCGCAACCTCTGGTCAATGTCCCACCGCCATTCACGGAAGGAAGAGAAGCGGCTCATAAATGGGGAGGCGAGGTCTGTGTGGATGTACGGATTTCCGGTGTTGGCGCCGAGCATGCGGGCGTGTTGGGCTTGTTTGTATTGCAAGACCTGCAGAGAGCCATGAGATGAGCATGTTTTCGCAGGAGAATGCTTGAGTTTGAATCAACGTACCTGTAGAATTTCAGACTGCAGCAAGCGTAGTCTGACATAATGTTGCGAGACGAGCTTAGAGGTAGGATACTCCACGGTGCTCGGGGGCCTGAGAAAGCCACTGGGCGTAATGTATTTGTCCTCGAGAAGACTTGGGAACTCGGTCGTGACAACTTGATCGGTGATCTGATGTGATACTGTCAGTTCCGAGGCAATATGGACGTAGAAAATCGCAATGAAGTGTGCGAGGAACTTGGCTTACACCGATCGGACGACCCACACATACAGACACCAGTCTGTCGAAGCCGTAGACACACCACCACAGTCGTCTCCGTAGATCACGACACCACTATTTCCTTGTGCGTTAGCATGAGCGATATAGCATGTCCTTGGAACTCACTTGTCGGCGACCAAGCACACGTTGCTCTGGAGAATCCGAGTCAATCTGCTCGTCCAGTTCCGGCTCAATATCCTCGGAGTGCAGCCCGAGGTCCACTGCGAGGCGCACAGCAACGCCGATGATATACCACAAACCGGGTGCGACAGGCCGCAGCAAGGCTAAACTCGCAAGCAAAAGGACCTATTGCGCATGTGTCAGCTATCGACCGGCAGCCATGTCCATCAGCACACGCACCGCTTGCAACTCCTCCAACCCCGGGCCGCTGTGTTGGGCTGTGGGCGAGGAGCTGAGAAAAGTCTCAAGATAGATCACCGCGCTGGAGTGGTACTCCTCGGGCTGGTGTTTTTGATCTTTGCCCTTCCGTCTCTGCCGCTTCTTCTTTCCCTGTGCCTCCGCATCTGCAACCCCATCTTCACCATCACCACCAGAAGAATCCATGATAATCCCGGAACCGATAGCAAACACAATCGTCAGCAAGTACAACTCTCTCGGCGTTCTCTTTGCCGGCTCCTTCGTATACACCTGCGCAAACAAGCCTTCAAATTCCCCTCGATGCAATATGGGAATCTGGCAGTTGGCATAATCGAAGTAGATCTCCACCAGCCTGCGTCCCGTAGCTTCATCCGGAAATGGCGCCGGCTCTACAGCGGGACGGGAGTGCAGGCCGAAAAAACCGTCTCGAGTGCTAATTGTTCCGCCACCGCCCGCCATCTCGGCGCTGGAGAGTTTAGAAGCTTTCACTCCGGTGCTCTTGTCCACCCCTGCTCGGGGCATGCAGCTCTTGACGGCCGCCAAGACAACGCGAGCGAAAGACACACCCTGCTTGCCCTCTGCGTTTCGCGGTGGTGGTTTGCCTTGGAGGGAGATACGCGGAACATCAGTGGCGAGCTTAGTGGCTGGATCGGAGTCTTCGTCTGTTTCTTGAAGCGCCGGATCAATGTGCCATCCTCGATCGTGCTGTGGCTCTATGCTGTCTTGATCTGCCGGACTGGGTTCGTGGTCCAAGACGGGGAAAGGCACGTTCTTGCCGGGTTTGATGTCATCGTTGATCGCAAAGTCCTCTTCGGGCGGCGGGATGGGCAAGTCATTGGTCTGAAGCAGCGCTTCTAGATTGCGCACGCGGGTTTCGAGGTAGTACACGTAGCTCCGCGGGATTGCCCTCCTCGATACCGGATCGAATCCGACACACTTGACGCCCGCCTGCAAATTTGACGGCCTGCGTTAGCCATATGAACGAGAGCGATGTGAAACTTGGAGGAAACGGCTGTTCTGCCTTCTACTCGGAGGGAAGATAAGGCGTCAGCACTCACCTTTGCACACCCACTACACCGCGGCAACTTCTGGTCGCACCGATTCTTCCTCGTCCGACAACGGTTGCATGCCGACACATTTCGGAAATTGGTCGTCGTCAGCGAATTGTCGTGCTCTGCACTGCCGCCACCATCATCTGCATCCCGTTCGCGTTTCCTCTTCGCCGGGGAAGTCATGTTGGCCGCGGCAAGTTTTGCCGAGGCGCCGGGCATGGCGAAGAGACACGCCCTTGCGGACGGCGAGATGCGATGCAGCTCAAGCGGGCAAGGGATAGAGGAAGATGCACACCGCGGCGCGCATCAATTGTTGTCATTGTGTTATTCGCGATGTTGAATGCACGAGGGTCATGAAGGCTGCATGCGCGCCCGGAAGCTCTGAGGTTCGCGTGGATCTCGAAACTATCTTTCCACCTCACCTGATCCCTTGTCTAGACGCCCACTCGAGCTGCTCTCTACCCGTCTACGTTGACAAGTCTCCCAGAGTACGATCGCCTTGGTGATTCCATGTGCTACGGCACTTCTACCACTTTGATGCGATCCAGACGTCACCCAAGCCATTCGTCTTATTCGACCCGCAGCAGCGATAACATATCTCCGTTGCTTGAAGCAGTTTTTGCAATATCCCGACGACGGTTACAATTGCTGTGTACATGCAGAGCTTCCCAGCTCTGTTTCAGCCGCTGTTGAAGCTCTCCGGCTCGTTCAATCTCCTCCGGAGGCACAGGAATCCTTTGCCGGTGGCTACTCTTCATGTGGCTGGAGTGCTCCCTCCACTCCGCCCTGGCTTGATTGTATACTGGGAGGAGCTATTCACCAAAGGTTGACAAACGTCAGCTCCTTGTTCCGAGCAATGGCATGAAAATCCACAAAGCTGCTTCGGCATGCTGAGCTCGTGGGCTCTCACTCACCTCTTGTCGGTAGGCCGTGCAGCAAGTCTCGGAGCAGCAAAACGACTTTTGAATATGTCGTGGCTCGAGAGTAGTGCATGGATCTTCCAACGGGCACCGAATTGTCCATTCAGTCTCCCAGACGTGGCCACAATGATGGGTCCAGACTATCGCCCAACACATTTTGGATGGAGAAGATCGCCGTTGGTATCTGTAGTTGACTGGACTCGAGCAGGTGTGTTGTTGGCTCTACCAAACCATGGAGGAAACATTCCAATAATTATACTGGCCGGTGAGTAGGAACTTGCATCCATGTCCTGAAGGCTGCCGATGCTCATTCAATAGTGCCAAGAGCCACCTCAGCACCCAAGCTCGGATGGAATGTCTGCTAACTAGTCTTCGCGCTCAAGCACTGACATGTCGCCACTGAACAGTGCCTCTCTGGCTGCATGCTTCTTCACCGCACAGTCAAAGTGTGCGAGGTAGGCTTGCAAGCACTCCTCCCCTCTCTGACGTAGCTCATTGACCTCTTCCATGACTTGTGCCGGCGGTTCACGATCTTCCGAGCGATACTCGTTCTCCTTGTCATTCGCTTCCCCCCAAAGCGCCTGCCATTCTTCGTGAAGCTACATCCACGTCATCTCCACCATCAGCCTCGCACTCTAACAGAACGTCTGATGTACGGCGTGTGTCTATCGCTCGCAATGTCCTAATTGGACTTACACGATCGCGCATCCTCGAGCAGCAAGCCGCCGAACAGCAGAAGCTCTTATCAACAAGAAATTCTTCTGGGTCCAAGCATTTCCTTGCCTTTTCGCACCGTTTGGTGCGTCTGGTGTGCCAGATGTGATCGCAGGCCCAGCCCCAAACCACCTCGTAGCACATTTCCGCAGAGCCTTTCTTTGACGGTCGAATTGGCGAAAACGTCGTGACTGGTGGCTTTCCGACCGATGTGACGAAGTGTTGGTAGCTTCGATCGGCTTGCTATGCGTCGGGAATAGTTTGGTCTTCATTCGGTAGATCAGCTGCCTTTCTCTGAGGTTTGTGTTTTCTCCATTATTGCGCCAACATGTTTCTTGCGAAAAAGGAAGCGGTCGACGAAGAGGGAAATGTTTTGAGCGCACTTTCCGGAAAGTCGGTCAAGAGGGACTCGTGGCGCAGACATTATGGCACACATAATGAGAAGGCGCGCTGGAGTACTGCAGGTGCGTGAACCACAAGACATACGAATGAGATTTGCTGATGCTCGCACAGAAGCCACTACAACACCCGAGCCCCTTCCATGCTCCTGCAGTCTATTCTTCGCTTTCAAGACCCGACAAATCACCACTCCGCAATGTCGCTTGAGCCGCATACCTGCGAGCTGTACAAGATGCGTGCGAATGGTAGGCTTGGAGATGTTCGTTCGCTTGCCGCTCGAACGTGTCGGCCTTTTCCATCTCTTCACGAGGTGGTGCAACACGATACACGATGTTCCACATGCTAAGGTGGCGGCGTTGTTCCGCAGCCAACGCTAGGTAGTCCTCGTACATTCCCTCGAGCTATTTCACTCGAAATCCTCAAGTCAGCCATCCATGTGCGCTTGTCGCCCGCACAGTGCGAACTCACCAGTTGGCGAGAGGCTGCGCAACAAGCCTCTGAGCAACATGCCGATTTACAAACGGCTCTCGGCGATGGGAAGGCACATGGCTCAGGATGGTGGCAGGCCTTTGTGAGACCGGTGTCGCGGACATGGCCGCAGCCGTGCTCCCAGTAGATCTTCCAGCACATTCTTGCTAGCTTTCGGTGGTAGAGTCTTGGGACTCGGAGAGAATCGATCGTTGTTGGAGACTGAAGCAGTTCGAAGTAAGGAGAAGAGTTGCGCAGAGTGTTGGGGAGCTTTTTATGCGTGAGGAACAATTGATTCATTTATATCATCGGTAAGTGAGCCTCAGGACGAATGGAATAAGTCTTGCTAATGCTATTCAATAGTCACTGGCAACGCACGAGCTCGGTTCATGCTTGTGCTTACTACCCGTGATGCTCAAGAACGGAAAAATCTCCAATTCGCACAGCGTCTTCGGCCGACACCCTGCGAGCGGTACATGAAGCGTATGAGTGGTACGTATCACGGCTCCCGCGCGACCTCTCGCGCCCGCCGACACAGGCTCGTTACTCCGAGTAGAACGCGGAGACTCGGCCCCACGAGCGCCCTCCTCTTGCCTAGCGCCACGGGCCTCTCCTCCTCCTCCGAGCGGTAGCACCGCACCTCCTCTGGCATGCCGACGACAGGGGAGCGCAGGTCGGTCTTCGTCTTAGCGTGCGCACTCCCCACACCAGCGTCGAGAATTCCAATACGATCCTTGCAGCACAATCTAACTACCAGTGAAGATGAGTACGCTCTGTACGCGCCTTAGACGACGAAGACTCGAAGAAAGGATATGATAGGATGCTCGAAACATGCCGAATTGACCAGTGACACGCCTACGCAAACAAAACCCTCGAAACCACGTCCATCACATCTCAGGCTCCACCCGAACGACCGTGCTGCAGCACATTGAAGACCTCGGATCTCTTCGCCGCACATTGAAGATGCCGGTTGCAATGGTCGCGGAGGGTGGCCAGCCAACGTTGAGTCTCAGGCGGTAGACGGTCTCCCCATCTGGTCAACCCAACTTTGTCGGCCACCGCAAGATAAGCATTCCACTCCTGATTGAGGATCAGTCTGGATCTGCTGGCCATGTGTGTCCTTCTGATTTTGCTTCTCGTCGGATAGCTAACGTACCAGCTCGAAGACTGCAGCGCAACAGTTCACAGAACAGCAAAAGGCTTGTCTAGTAACCCAAGGCTGCAGACTAGGACAAATGTGTGGAAGACTACTCGGAGTGCGTCTGGCCTCGAGTAGTTGGCGGTCTACACATTTGATCGTCTTGAATAGATCGACGACGTGGTTGCATTGGTGGGACCACAAGAGCTTGAAACACATGATCGCAATGTCGAGACTACTTGGTAGTCAGTCTTCGAACTGGTCAAGATGAATAAGTCCTTGTCACCTATTAATTGAGCGCGGCACTGATTAACGGGCGTTCTCCGCGGTATCCTGGTCGTCCTTGTTCGGTAGTCTCTGGCAAGAGAGGTGGATAAAACGGTTGAAGGTCCACCAATCTGGTTCATATATAGACATGATGTTGCAGTATTGAACGATGCACGACTATCTTGCCGTGGTGAATGATGTAGAGCGGAAAGGCAGCACTGTACACTTCCACAATCGTCGGTGTAACTAAATAACCACGCTCTACCGATGGAAAGGTGGAACGAGACACGACAGGATAGTCGACGTGGCAGGTGACAAAGACATCCTCTGCTGGAGGACGAAATCCGAAATGGGATATCCCAGGACTCGCGATGTTTGCTAACAGAAGCGTGCAACACCTTGGGCCACGAGGCTACCTAATTCCGGATCCGCCAGTACATGCGAGGTTCCCCATGGATTCTTTCCGCCCAAATACTCGAAACAGGTCGATCGAGTGTTGAGCTCGCCTCCGACCATGAACCATATTGATCAGGCACAGCTGTTGCCTGAAGACGAAGTAGCCTAAGAGTAAGCGCGAGGAAGCACCATGCCCCCTGACCGTGCATTGACGATAAAGTAAGCAATACTGCGCACTGTTCTGTCTCTCTATTTGAGTGTTACACGAGTACCTGGAAGACGCTTCGGACATCTCCGACGGCTGGTCACATCTCTCCGCGATCTTTAGAGGGCATAGCCTCCTCTCAAGCTACTCCTCGTCATCCTCCGAATCAGTTTGCTGCGAACGACGCGCACGCTGCAGCTCAGCATTAGCTGCAGCTCTCTTAACGTCACATTCGCGATGTTTGTTAGCTTCGTCGCGAAGCCGGTCCGCCCTCTCAACCAAATCTCTCCTCAACACCGAACGATTAGACGAGCCGTGCTGGCCCCATCGAATCATCCCAGCCTCTTCCGCTGCTGTGAGGTACGCCCGCCAACCCTGTTTGAAAAGTTCAGTCATTCGTGATCTACAGCTCCCCACAGAAAAGAAGACTTACCGCGTCGAATCTCCTGATGCAGCACTCCGTCGAGCAGCAGAAGTCGTGCTCGTACTCCTTGTCTTGTGTATCGGGACACTTGCGGGGGAGATTTGGAGTGTTGGCGGCCTTGAGCAGACGCCATTCATAGCATTTGATTCTATGAGTATCGGGTTCGTGATCGCATGAATGGAACCACCACAGTTTCAGACACATCGTAGCTGTAGAGCAGTCAGCAATCAACCTGCACGGCGCCTTGTGAGGTGTAGTAACGCACCGATGAGACCAGGCTGATGTCTTTGGGCGAGTACGGAGGAACTGAACGAGCGAGACATCGACAGATATACACAAGTTGTTGGAGTGGTGAATGCTGTAGAACGCGTGAATGCGACACCGGTGACGGTTTCCAACACCAAGCATGCGTGAATGAAGACATTGTAACAACTCGGCCAATGTGAATATCTCCTCCAGAACGGTGTAGACTGCTTGGAGGCGCATCAGGACTCAACGTCACGAAAGAACGCTCGTGGATTGACTATGATACGGTATATTAAGCCTCGTCATGGGAAAACGCGAGGGAGGAGCAAACCGTTGCATTTCTGCCTCAACTCTCATACCACTCTCCTACGTGTCTGCTCCACGAGTCAAATCCGCCGTGCGCGCTCTCTCAGCAAGGACACAATCTAAATGGGCGATAGCGGCATTTCTCTTCGCTTGACAGCCACCGTGCCGATTTGCGTGTGCCATAAGTGTGGTCAACAAGCTGCGTGTCTCGGAATCGAGGTTCCAATGTGGTCCATTCATGCCACGTGCTTCCGCTTCCGCCTGCTGCCTGGCAAGGAGATATGTGTTCCAATCCTAGGCAGATGTTAACCAGCAGCAGGTATCCGGCTCATTAGCAGACGTCTTGCATGCCTCAAGGAACCTCTCATCGCAACATGCTCCCGAACAGCAGAAGTCTTTATCCTCCGCCCGCTGTTCCGAGATGCACATATTCAAGCTGTACTTGTTCTCGAACTCGCACTTTTCAAATGGTACTACCACCTTGGTGTGCCCGCATGGATCATGGCACCAGGATAGCATCCAACACATGGTGACCAGCGCGCGACAGAGGGTATAGGATGGAGGTCTTTTGGAACGACAAGATTGATCTTTGTCGCAATCATAGCTGGTGGAAGGTGGTGTATGGATGTAGAGACCACGGTCAAACGATATATAGCTCTTCGTTGAGCCATCAGTGAATCGGGGCCATCGAGGCAGAGCGTGAGAGGAAGCTGCGGCCTCTTCAACATTAAATCAAGCCTTGCATGAATCGGAATCAGGGACTCTCCGTCGGTGGAGCGACGAGATTCCCCATGTCTGCTGCTTCGGTGGACACAAGGACGCATGCAACGAGGGTGACGATGGACAGTGAAACAGAAAAGCAGGAGCAAGCGATCGTCCATTACGTACAGCAGCGACTCTAGGTCAGGCCCGGCCAAGCTCAACCAAGCGATCCAAGTGAATGGTCCACGCGGAGCGAAAGACCTCCTCTGAGAAGCGGGACGAACTTGTACGAGCGCGGTGACGCATAGCGTAAGCATCCTCGGGCGACAATGCCAGAGCCTTGGCGAAGGCATCTGCGTATTCCTGATCGGTGGAAGCGTGGAAACCTGTGCCATGGTCAGCAAGAGTTTGGAACAGGGTCGGAGAGCACGGCATACCAGTCTTCTGTCCCATGATATCGACGACGATATCTTCCTTGGGACCGCCCGAGTCATTGACAACGCTGATGAGCCCCGCGGCTTGATACTCCACCACGCCGATACCAAAATGCTCATTCCACATGGCGTTGACACCGATGCTGCTCGTGCGCAAAAGGTCGAGGATTTGTGTCCACTTGGCATTCACCACAAATTCCACATGTTCTTTGATCTCCAACGCTTGCAGTCGAAGTTTGTAGACCCGTTTCTCATCCTGGTCGTCGCGCACACTGCCGCACAGTATAAGTTTTGGCTTCGGAGCATTCGGCGAAAGACTTTTGAGATAGAGAGCGAAGGCGGCGATGATGGTCTGGTGGTTCTTTTCCGGTCGGAACTGTGCGATGTATATCAGGTTCCTGGATCGTTGGGCCTCCGATTCCTCGGTGACCGGTAGCTTTCGGTGAAGTTCCTCCACTGCGCAGGGTGGGTACACTTTCGAGATGGGGAACTTCTTCCTTCGTTTCGTGCGAGATGGGCCCCACAGTGAGGTGATGTGTGCTTGTGTCCACGAGCTGTTGGTCATCACGACATCGATGTGTCCTCCCACCCATGAATACAGCCCGGCAAACAACTTCCAATACCATAGCTTTGCTTTGCCAGCTGCGCCTTTTCCGGAACCGGCGTTGAGACCGCGGCCTTGAGTTTCATCGTGTAGACTGCTCAGCATGTCGGTCGAAATGGTTGGATAATGGACGTAAGCCCCGGCGGGCATCTTGGGGAAGAGCCATTTGCACAAGGCGAGCACGAAAGCGTAACCCATAGTATCGACGAAGACATCCGGAACAACGAGGCTGAAGGCTTCATACCCCAGGATCAAGGAACCAAGACTCTGACCCAAGAGGGTGAAGCGCGGCCATCTCGAAGCCAGAACCCACTCTCGCTCGGCGAGGAAGATGAAAGACACGCGAGCGGCATTGAGGGGAATGTTGAAGCGGTTGTGGGCGTTTGAAATGATCAGCTCCTTGGAAGCGTCCTGGTCGCCGGTATACACCACGCAGAGTGCCTTGGGGTAGCGATGTTGAGTAGCTTGAATTGCCGCAAACAGCACACGCTCGCCTCCCCCACCAGCGTTGCAGAAAGGATGAAAGAAACCGATGATACCGGCGTACGACTGATCGGCGTTCGCGGATGTTGCTCGAGGCGGCGTCTTCTCGCCAGCGTTCACCTTCTCCCATTCCTCGTCGTCCAGAGAGGCAACTGACGCTTCGGTTGGAGGAGAACGGCTTTCGCCATCGGCAGGAGACTGATCTTCGGCAACAACAGCTCTCTCCAGGAGAATTTCGCGTCGCTGTTTGGTCTTGCTGCGGAGAGAGAGCCCGATGAGACGCCCTACCAGCCGAAAGACATAAGGCAGGAGGCCAACGGAGAGCAAGGAGATGGCCAGCGGCACAAGGAAAGTAGCCATCATCGCTGCAGGTCCTGAAGTCAAGATCTGGCGGTGGCTGGTTTATATCATGGCTTGGATGGTTTCTTGTCGGCGTGACGAGGTGATGGGCAAGAAACCACGTTGATGTCGAGACAACCCCGTGGCGGGTGCACGGGCGGCGGCTGACGCGGGCCGTGCCCTCGTCCGGCGAATCCTCAACTCAAGCCCGACCTCACCTGAATGAATTCCCCGAGAATCACCAATTCTATCGCTCAGAGTCGCCCACGCATCAGCCAGCGGTGGACGACATGGTGCTCCACACTTCAACTTCGTGCATGCGCTCGTCATTCTTCGCCCTGCCACCTCGCCTTCGCGTGGCCTGCTTCCAGAATGCTCGGACTTTCTCATCAACACCTTCGCCCAAATCCCCCTTGGTCGATTGGGCAGTGGCCGGGCCTACTGCCGTCTTAAACGGCGTGCACAGCCTCGGTATCCCTTGGTCCGCCGCGATTCCCATTACAGCCATTCTGGTCCGTTCTGCACACGCCTATCTCACCAGCACTCCAACGCAGAAAATCAAGCAATTCCAGGCGCAAATAGCGCCTCTCGTGGGGGTACGCACAAATGTCGAACTGTCCAAACCCGAAGAACAAGAGCGTTCAAGGCGTTTGGCCATGGCCGATACGCCATCGGCGCAAGTGATGCGTTCATTCTTCATCTGGCGGGCCCGGGTCAGGGTGGTGAAGGAACTGCACAAGGACTACGGGATCAAAGGTCAGTGGCGGTCGGGCGTCCTGAGTTTTGGCATCTTGATTGCCCTGACAGAATCGATCCGACTGAAATGTGGGGCGAGGGATGGTCTTTTACCTACGCTCTTGTCTCCCCTGGAATGGGTCGCCAGGAAAATTGACCCGACTCGTTTTCCCACCCCTCCAGATCCACCCGCCGTCGTCAGCAAAGATCCCGTGGAGATGCTGGCAGCCAGACTGGAAGCGGCGAATCAAAATGCTACGATGGCCTCGGCAACTAATCAACATGAAGATCTCGAGTCGGAAGTGGCGAATGGAGCGACTTTGGAAGCTGAACAGTCACAGCTCTCCAACTTTGCCTCGACTACATCAGAGCCAGCTGACGAAGCAATCCAACGACTACCCGAAGTCTTTCCCCCAACACGATTGCCAGACACCTTAAGTCCTCACTTTGATCCCTCTATGCAAACAGAAGGCCTGTCCTTCGCCATGGACCTCACCCTCCCCGACCCCACCCTCATCTTGCCATGGACCCTATTCGGCATCATGGTCTGCACCTCCTTATTTCAGCAACGGCCGGTCAATACTGGCGCAACACCAAAGCGTATCAATCTCTCTCTTCAGCAGCGGATCGGGCTTGTGGTGGCATCTTTGTTCGTCTTCTTATCGCCCAATTTCCCCGCGGCCGTGCTGCTGTACATGATTCCCAGCTTTGCCTTTAGCTGGCTGCGTGGACGCTGGCTGGATTGGAAATATCCCCTTCAACCCTTGATCAGACCTTGCAAGCGACCCATCCGGAGGAAGGTCAGGAAGACTTTTGGGGGGTGAACGGGTCTTAATAGGGACTGTAGCTTGTTTTACCCGCCCACCCGTCGGGGTCTCTAGGCCTTTCAAAACAAATTTCACCGATGCGCTCCCTCCCCAAGCCCGGCAAACGTGAGAATATGACGGAGATGCTGCCATTCGGCCGGGTATACTTCTTTTTGGCAGGGCTGGGCATAAGTGGATCTGGCCGTGATGATGCGTCCCTGCTCGCTTGCGGAGCAGTACAAAGAGCCCCCGAAGCGCGTGTCAGACTCCTCAAAGCTTGGGAGTGTCGTTTCGGGAGGCGCCTAAATAGCGCGTATGCGCCCAAATGTGACGGCCTTGCGGGTTTAGTTGGGTTTGACCGGCTGGCAGCTCTCCGTTCCTGCGGCTGGGTCTTTGGTATCATCCACCCCCAGCAAATGTGTGAGAGTGCGACGGAGATGCTGCCAATCGGGCGAGTATGCTCCCCCTGCTTGCGCTGGGTATCAGTCGTGCTGGTAGTGATGATGCGTCTCTTCTCGCTTGCGTAGGAGGAGAACAAAGAGCCCTCGAAGCGCGCAGCAGACTCCTCAAAGCGTGGGAGTGTCGTTTCGAGAGGTGCCTGGATGGACCACACGCGCCCCAGTGTGGCGGCTTTGCGGAGTTCAGTTGGGTTTGACTGGGTGGCGGCTCTCCGTTTCTGCTGCTAGGTCTTTGGTACCATCCAAACCCGGCAAACGTGAGAGTGCGGACGGGGACGCTGCAGTTCGGCCGAGTATGCTCTGTCTGCTTGCGCTGGGTTGTCAGTTGCGCTGGCAGTGATGATGTGTCTCTTATCACCCGCGGAGCAGGAACACGGGGCCCTCTTGGCGTGCATCAGACCCTTCGAAGGCTGTAAGTTTCCTCTTGGGAGGTGCCTGGGTGGACCACACACGCCCCGCAGCCCCGCAATGGCGGCTTTGTGGGATTCATTCGGTTTGACTGGATGGCGGCTCTCTGTTTCTGCGGCCGGGTCTTTTGATGCCCTCAAAGCCTCGCAAGCATGAGAATGTGACGGAGATGCTGCCGCTCGGCCGAGTATGCTCGTTCTGCATTCATCTGCCAAGCAAACGGCGCGATGCATGAACACGACCGAGACGTTTGATGTCTGGGTTGCTCTACCAACAGTTGATGGACACCAAGCTGAAGAGGTGTAGATGGCAGCATCGATATGTATGGATGAGATGCTTCAATCCGAGTGCGCCCATCTAACGAATAGAACGGAGACATTGGGATTGACAGTACGTACCATGTCCGACACGAAAACATACATACCCTTACTGTTGAATCTACACGCTTCCCTCGGGAATCAACGTGCACTGCTCGCAGAGTCTATATATTTGACACTTCATTCAGCGAATCCGCATGTACACGAGAATCTCGACGTGGATCAGATTGGATATGTCCACGGTCCATCGAAGAGGCATTCCCTTCCTTTGATTTGGCTGCCAGACAATCTACCACGAGGACGTCGCGACGGCGGCATGCCGATGGGTTTCTGTGCTGGTCACGCAAGACACATCACGACCGTCGATTGTTGGACGCGCCGACTACTACTAATCGCCGCCACGTCCAACCCGACATATCGTATGCTGGAGAGATTACATTGGCACACGGGGTGAGAACCCGCCTTTATCTACGTACTGGGTGATCTGCCGCATGGTAAGTTGAATTGACATGTAAGAATGTCACACGTGCCAGGCCAGAGTGAGGCTTCTGCTAAACGGAAGTGACAACGGAAGTCGGGATGGCAGGTACGACACCCCCCCCTGCCATCCGCACGTGCCAAACCCAGATTGATCACACCGACATCAGCTACTGCTCTTAATCACACCGTGTTCACTCATTTCACCTCTACTATCTACCTTTGACTCTTCACTCTTCACTATCACCTCTCTCCCTCACCTCTTCCATCAGTCCTCTTCCTTGCCGTCGTACGCGCAGGTCACCATCATTGGTTCTGATCTGCAAGAAATCATCACCCTCGTTTCGTGGACGTGTGAGCTCGCTGTCCCCATCGGCGAATGCATTAAGAAGG